AGTCAGTGTGAAGAGGTTATCCCCAATGAAGGATGCTCCAAGATGCTACCCAACCTCTATGGAAGCAATATTATCTACAAAAGCAGCAACACTTGCCATCTGCCGAGCCATTTAAAAATCTTTATCTTTACCAAAGCCTTCACAAAGACAAAGCCCAACTTATGAATACCAAATTAACTGCACTATCTACAACAAAAGGAGGACAACAGCCCCAAACTGTTTCTTGGTTGGATTCCCAGGGGATTGGGTTGCCTTCAGATCCCTCTGAAAACAGCATCCGCTAAGATTTTATGGACACATTGAACACCAGCTACAACCAAGTGCTGACCTGAGCCATGCCAGCCCCAGATGGGATGCCACTGCTGTTACCACGTTGGGCTGCTCTGCTCTTCCCTCCTCTCTGCACTCTGCCCCTAAGTAGCCAGGTCCATACCCAAGCTGAAAATGCCCAGAGAAAACCTGGGACAGCACAGTTCTTGAAATAATCCCACCACCATCCCTTTGGGGAAATACTGGAAAATTTCCCTGCTGGATGACCACGAGCTCACCGCCACACTGCAGCCCAGGACTTAACCCCAGTAATGAGAAGAGAAACCGCAAAATCCCTTCCTTCCAGCTAAAACCACCTCATGGTTTCTCTCCTGGGCTACCAGTCTGAAATGCTGGTGTGGAGGCAATCCCACGCTATCTTTGAGCAGGACTTGTACACCTGACAATGCCCAATTGTCACTGGAGGCCACTGACAACCAGATTTTTACTTTTCTTTTTCTGGACATCCCCAGTCCATGCTGGGAAGGAAGAGGGGACGACGTCTTTTATTTAAGCAGACTCCTTCTACCTCATATAAGTAATCAAAACTCGTGAGTGCTTTATATGTTGCTTAAACCAAACAGCAGCAAAAATACAAAGCATAGCAGTAACACAAAAGGCAGAAAAAACGAAGTGAAAAAGGAGGACAAAAAAAAACAACCAAGGAAAGAGCCCCAATCTTGTACCTGATGTGTAGCAAACTGTACAGTATATACATCTTCATCATGTATTACCCTCCCAGAAGAGCAAAAGAAAAGAACTTGGTAACACAAAGGGAGGAAAAAAATATACACCCTGTATTGTATTTGCCATGGAGCAAGCAACATGTTTATACACTAGTCTCTATAACTTAATGCTGTGTAACAGCATTTTTTTCTTTTCTTTAAATTTACAAAACAAAATATCTATCAAGAAATAATCTAATCATATTGCTCTTCAATACACTTCTGTAGACAAGTAAGACTCGAAGTTAAACTTCAGTAAACTGCAGCTTTTGGGAGCCCGTGAATGGCTACAAAACTCCTCCACTCAAGTCAGTCCTTGGAAGCATTACCATGTGCTGCTGTAATTCAGTATATAAAGGTGCTATATATATATATATATCTTCCATGTACAGACAACGTGTGGTGGGAAGGCTTGTTGTCATCGTCGCTGAAGCTTAAGAGACGGGTTAACCTCACATACAGCAGATTCATTTCCATGTTCCATGCATCTTACATTTACTTCATGAAAATGAGGACACAAATAGGAAGAAAATGAAAACTTTAGTCAAACACTGCTTTAGAAACACTGTGGCAGAGGCCAATGTTCTTCAGTTATAGAAACCATTGAATTTCCCTTTTTATCTTTTTTTTTTTTTTTAGTCAAAATAAGTCTCAGGGCTAGCGTACAAAGTGCAGGACCGACCCACTTGAGGAAGCGACTTTAAAACCGAGTTACAATGGCACCATCCCATTCACCAACTGGACCTTCATCTCCTGAAGGCTGTTCATTATCTTCTTCTGGTGACCAACAAGTGTCACTCCCAGCCGCCTCAAATCCCTGTGGGAGAAAGCAGACGTTGGTTCCAGGGATCGCTCAGGCACACGCTGCCACACACACCACATGCCACACACACGGATGCTGCTGCCAGCGCCTACCTCCTACCATTGGTGGCTCCCAAAGCCAAGTTTAGCTGGCAAGTTTAATTTTCCCCATTTTTTTGGTTTAAATTAATGGCTGACAGCATCTCAGAGAGGTGACATGATTCGACTGAGATCATCTCGCTGACCAAGGAGAAAAGCTGGACAGCAAAGTGTCAGTATCACCTTTGGCCAAGGACTCTGCTAGGCATGAAAAGTCCCATTTACAAGAGGAATGTAAGAAAGCCTACATTGCAGTTTCCTCTTCTCCTGGGAGAGGCTGGTATTTGATCTCTGATACAAGCTGTGAGGAGTGAGGTCAACCCATGCTTCCTTCCTCTTTGGACTAGGCAAAACCAAAGATACACAACCCACAATCCTAGTGCCACCTCCCACAGAGTGCTGAATGGCAAAAGCCTTGAGCATGGCCACCAACTCGATGACCCCCTAAAGTCAACAGGAATTGGCAATGCAGCTTCCCTCTGGGCCTTTGCACAACTTCCCATAAACTCATATTTGATTTTTTTGGGGGGGTGAATTCTACAAGCAAAGAGCGTTTGTGTTGAGTCTGTCTACTGGGCTGCCATGCAGGAAAACTGCAAATAAGATATGCAGGATTAGGAGGAAAGATGGTTTTCTCAGAAGCTCAGCCTTCTAAAATTTAGGTGTATAGATGAAGGTAATCACCAAGGTTCATGTTGATGGTGAGAAACAGGCAGGAGAGGGACAAGTTGTCCAGCCCCTGGACATACTACAGCGGAACCTTGGGTGATTAGATTCAATGATACATCTAAAGCCAGGTAAGGCCATGGGTTATGGCAGAGTATAATTGTAAGGATTTCCTTCTAGGAAGAAAAAGCGTTAACACAGAAATTGTAGGAAAAAAGCTCAGAGGAAACATCAAGACAGATGCATTTGTGTTTCCAACACAAGACACAGAGACTGTTAGAGAAGCAGTTCACCTTAGAGGAGATGTGGTGTTTAGTCTGAAGACTTCCACCAGAGAAATATTAGCCCCTTGTTTTCTACCTCCAGGCTGGACAGAATAAAGGATGGTTTCAAAGTAGGGCTCTACGGTCTTGCCAATACATGTGTGAATCCCAGAGCTGCGGACACGCCGTGTGCAAGTCTGTTAGGAGAAAGCTCTCCACTGAAAGCCAGGGGGATATGACCTCCTTGAACACGTAGGTGCTTTTTGGAAACCACACTGGTGGGGCTGGCACGTGCAAAGGATGGGGATCGCCAGCAACACCTGGAAGCCCAACCATCACCTGAGACATATTGCAAACCTGGCCTGCAGCTCACAGCACGGCCGTATGCCGGACTGCAGGTGAACATGCGCAACGACCACCAGAACACTTCCACGTGGTGTTGTGTGAGCTACCCATGGAGGTGTACCTCTCTCAGGAGCTTCACATTCTGGACAGAGACTCCTGTGCGAATACAACCAACTGTCATGTCCAAAAATTACATAGAGGAATACTGTTTTGAATAAAAAGTGATGCCGAGTGAAGGTTGATACATTAACACAGAAGCTGGTTGAAGCCAAACTGTTGTACTGTTGTTCTCCAAGGATTGTCCTTTTGATTTGGAAAATACCAGGTTTTCTGCTCTAGGCTAAACACTTCATTTTGTTAACATACCCTTTTTCGGCGCTGCATCTTGCTGATGCATAGGGGAAATCACAACGTAAGGGGCATGAAGCAAGGGAGGTCAATGAGACACATCAGCATCACTCCTTACCTGGCACAGAAAAGGCTGCAACATCTGTAAAAGATGTCTACCTTCTCAGGGGGACATACTTTCATTTCTGCCTCCACTGAATTGTGAAACTAGTTCAGCAAACCATCTTAATAATGAAGGAAAAATGTAGTAATGCTATTGTTACATGCAATTTATTTTATGTACACAGCACAGTTGGAAGTTCACGCCAAAGATCAAACACCACCACCCCCCCCAAAAAAAAAAAATAAAAATCCCAGTATAGGACCTGATTTTTAAAGAAGCCAACATCCATCTTCCCCCTGCTGAGTACTGCTCTGCTTGCGCTTTTAGAAAATTCAGTCTTTTTTTTTTTTTCCAGGTATCTAAAGTGCAAGCTGAGCTCTTTTGAAAATCCAGCATGACATTATTTCATAGATGTATCATTTCTGACACTCTTGCATGTTATGCAGAAAAAAAATAGCCTGAAACTATGAGAAAGGTATGTACGTTTTGGTGTTTCACATGCAGCTTCATCAGTCTAATAAAAACCCCCTACTCACTACACAGCTTTTTTTTCCCCCTTATAGTATCCCCTTAACTCAATATCCTTGAGGAGTGCCTCATTGATTTACAAGAGAGAAAAATGAAAAAGAAGTTTCTGGTTTCAATCCATTAGCTGCTCACCGGGGGATCCAGTCTATTTTTTTTTTTGAATATCAAATCCTCTCGAATGTGGAAAGCCACCAGCCAAAAGCCTGGGGACTCCTCAGAGATGGGAAAAAACACTACCATGAGGCCTTCCACCTCCACAAAGATGAACCAGAAGACAACAGCTCCTGAGCTAAATGCTCACCTAGTATAAAATCAGCAGCTTTATTCAAAAGCCACCTCATGCGTTGCAAAGCCAGCCACAGAACTTTTCAAAAACTGCCTAGAGAATGCAGGAGCTTTAATTCTCATTTTTCAAGCATGACTTACAGCACGTTGCACGCTCCCGTGCATCCAGTGCTGAGAAACTTAAAAGCAGCATAAGGCAGAAGCCAATTTTAAACAAAATTGGGTGCACAAACCAGCTGGTTTTGGAAAAAAAAAAATCAACTTCTCTGCCAAAGGGCTGCAAAACAACTGTTCTCAAGCTCCAGTCCAGAGCTGTCTGGCTCATGTTACCACAGCCAACTGTTAATTTCACGGGGCTCAGCTCTGCAGAGGAGATGTGTGTGGGTATCTACTGGGGCTTTGCAATAGAAATAACGCAATTCCCTGCAAGAAAAGGCACAACTAAGACCTGGGGCCAAGCAAGACTTGCGATCAGGATCCAGGCTGCACCTTGCCATGCAAGTGACCCAAACTGTGGCAGCAGCATGGGTGCTCCCCGAGGCCGTGGAGATACGTGCACCTGCGTGCTGTGGAGTCTCCCTGCTTCAGAATGCTTGAACTCTCCAGCAATGAGGCAACTTTTATTCTTGTTTTAGAGAGTAGTCTCCCCTTTTCACTTCTCTTTCACTCACATAGGGCTGAAAATGTAAACTGGAAGGAATTTAAATCACTTGCCAACACAATACTAAGAGGCTGATGTAAGTTGACCAAAAAGCCAGGGAAATAAAGGAGAAAATTGCTGTTGGTTCATCCCAAACAGCCTGTATACAGCTGCACGCATGCTGCTCTCTTACCACCTCCTGCATGAAAGCCCAACTGCAGTATGCCAGGAACAACATGGTATCCCCTTCCCTGCAATATCCTCCATTTGCAAGGGTTGAATTCACGGTCTCCACGTTGTATATTTAAAACATTTTATTTACAAACAGAACTACTTATACACCATGGAGCAGTTTGTCAAACACAGTGTAGACTAGGACTGGATTGCCACATAAAATACAACCCCCCTCACCAGCCGGTTAATCATGCAAGCAAAAGGGCCAGGTTCCTGAAAGATCTCCATGGTTGGCAGCTGTCAACCTACCACAGATATTTTGTATTTCATCTCTCGTCCATGCCAGATTTCACCACTCTTCTTCACATGGTGTAACTCTACAATTGCCTGTGCAGACTGGGACTACTCACAGAGTGACTTAGTTGTCAGTTTGAATGAGGGAAAGAAGAACCACCTCAAAGACCCTTAGAAGATGCTAAAGAGAAAGGAATCCACCTGATAGGGACTTTTGCATGAAATGAGGACTTAAAAAAAATTTTTTAAGAGTTCATCTGCTCTTATTCATTATTCCCATCTTACTTGATTATGAGATGAGAATTGGTTTGTTCAAAAACAGATGCAGTACCACAATCTCAGGACTGAGATTTTAGGTTAAGAACAAGCATCTAGAGCAGGTGAATTCTTAAATGCTCTTCATCCAGTATAACTTTTAATAAATAATTAATTTTATTTTAGAAGAAAAAATATACAATGCAAAGCAACACAGCACATATTATTACAAATATTCAGAGCTCTTCATCTAATAACAAACAACAGTGTGTCCTGAGATTCAGTGTGTACAGATCTTTCAAAAGGTAGAAGTATGTAGTCCACATGGTTAGTAATTGGTTCAGTCAAGTGTAAGACTGAAACTCATGTCATGGATCTATCTATTCTTGAGTATTGTCCTGGTAAAGTTATTCTTGCAGTGGATTGAAAGTGCTCCAGACACACTCAAAGTCACTAGGTGGTCCACAAGTTTAAAGAGCAGGTCTGGTCCACTGGAAAGGTTGCCTTCAAGTCTGATATCCAGTTGGAAAGAGGGGGTGGAGGGTGAGGCTCCACTTTTCACAAGGTGATTCATCCCTTTGCAAGAATTAGAGCTAAATGTAGAAATCACTCTTTGTTTGAACACATACATTTTCAGGTCTTTGCTTAAGCAGGCAGAGCTCAGGACTTGGGGCGATATTCACCGGTTTTAGCTTTTTTAATCTTTTGCTTTCAGAAATTTGTCAGCAATACCACTCTTTTCTGGAATAAATGCATCAAGTCATCAGTTTGAAAGAAGCAAGGTAGCAATCGGGATCTTGCCTTGCATGCCGGGGGGGTGGGGGCGGGATTTAAAAAAAAAAAAAATGCTGAACATCTACCATCTCAACAAGGTCCTGTAAAGAGGCCACAGGCTGGGTGTCCACAATCACCAGTCCCGTCAGCGTTATGGCCAACCCCCCCTACAGCGCTAGTAATTTTTCTTCAGTAGATTTTAGGAGTTCTTTACATTCATCATATTTCTTTCTCCTGCCGTTTCTGGCAGCAATTATCCAGTTCTCCTTTCTCCATCTAATTTCCACATCTGTCTCCTAGGCAGTTTAAATTTGGGGAAGATCATTTTAGATGGTATTTGAAGGCAACCTCTTAAATTGTAAAGAATGTTTTACTGATGTCATTTGGGGAAAGCAAGCTACTTTCAGATGTTCAGATCATCTTTTCACCTGATCCCCCCAAGTCCCAGCTCTGGAATACACTGAACAGTTACCTCTATTAAAAATGACAAGGAACATTTAACTTAAATTCTCCTTTGCAGAGTACAAAATGTTTTGTTGTTTCCTTTTACAGAGGAAAAAACCTAAATCCTCCAGAACCAAAACCCCCAACATACTAACCTTTAAAGAACTTTGCTTGTTCCAGTGTTATTTTCTGGAGAACCCATGAGAGTCTCAGCTAAGCCCACCCAGGAGCCATTTTTCTCTTTTACTTTGTTGATTTTAAGGGCAATCTGCCAGTTTACATCAGCCTGAGCATGTGGTTCAGGTCTTCAACATGGGACACTTTTGCTCTTAAACCACTATGATGGTTTCTCCTTTTTTAACAGCCAAGAATCTGATATTTTGCCCTTTTTTAATATGTCTGAATGGGACAAGTGAAGTCTTGATTTGGATGGCTGATTGGCTTTTTAACAAACCTTGCACAGTTTTCCCAAAAATAGACCTAAGTGGGGTTAAGTCTTCTTGCTAAGCCACCACTGTAACGCAAAGGTTCATGGGCTAAGCTGTTCAAGAGCCAAGCCTGACTCATGCAAGCATCTCTGTCCAAGGCAGCTGGTGGTGGGAATTTATTTTTTGGCATGGATAACTAAGTAGTTGAAGTTAGTGTCAAACATTTTTCAGTTTGAGCTGAAATGCAAGATGGATTAATGAAACGTCTCCTTTCAGCTTAAAAAAATCCCAACAAACAAAACCCAGAAGCTCCCAGGCATCAGCTCCTCTGCACTGTTCTGCTGCTTTAAAAGCCTGTAAGAAAGCTGAAGGTGAGCAGCTCAGACATGTTGTCTCCACTGGGGCCAGTGGCAGACCAGAGTAGGATGACATTGGTGCTATAGAGGACAAACTGGGACCTGCTGGAGGGGGCCTTAGAGATGGTTTGCTGGTAAGAGTCAGAGCATCTCTGGTAGATATAATCTTGTTTAAAGACTTTTAAACCAACTTGCCTTTCTGGATAGAACTGTACAGATAATGGATTTCTTGGTTCACTGCCAAAAGGAAAAAACATTTTGAAGTACTTTTTGGGTAGCCTGAAAAGATTTTGGGGATACTTTTGAAATTTCTGGGACACCAAAAAGTAAATATAGGGAGGTATTTAAATTTTTAAGTCAATTTAGGGAGATAATTTCACAATCTGAAATGTTGCACTCTAGAAAATGGGAGGTTAGGAATAGTTTTGTCAGCAGGATGGGATGCTAAGACTGTCAGCACAGAGGGATGCTAAGACTGTTTAAAGCTACAGGAGTAAGTGAACTGCTAATTTACTGTCAAAAATGACCATTAATTCAGGCTTAAACTCAATATTTTCTTGGACCCAAAGCAAAGTGGTTTACTTCTGAGCATTTCTTTTAGACCTCTTAAAATTGCGTAAAATTCTAAAGAGGAACAAACCGGAATCTTTTGTGAAACCTAATTTTCTTCTTTCATATGAGACTGATTTAGCCAAACAGTAACAAGTCTATGATATAATTTAGACAATCTGCATTTTCTACCAGAACTTGCTCTGGTTGTAAGATTAAGGTGGCACAGTAGAGATGAATGCTGCAATGTTTTTCTTTTCTCTTAAATTACTGCCTCATCCTATCCCTCCTCTTCCCACTCACCCTCCGTCTAGGTCTTTTTGCTGTGTGGACTCTGACAAGCCTGGGGATGGACCTCTTCCTTGACCAACATTTGCAGATCACCAGTCTAAATGGAGCTCTGAAGCCTGGTGTTTCTGGGCACTGCCAGATCAGATGAGTAGATAAGGAAATGTGGAGTCCTCAAAGGCCAAAGTAACATGGCACATAATTACAGGATTAGGCTGGGAAACCACATGTAAAATTCTCAAGCACCCGAAAAAGGATGTAGGTAGAAATCCATTCATCCTGACTCCCTTGACAGTCACTAGAGAGCTCAGGGTTTTCACGTGAATGCCTGAAGATAGACTGGATGAATCTAGGTGTAAGGAACAAATATTGGTGATGTGAGTGGAGCAAATAAAATGAGTGACAGCAGATATGCTTCTGCACTCCCTCCATGCATGTAACACAAAACTGCATTCCATGAGATGTTACCCACCTGCACCAGGTGCAAAGGACCTCCTACTCAGTGCAGGGGGCTCCACAGCAAGCCCTGTGGCGGACAGGAGAAATGCAGCCGTTCTATGGGGTGCGGGGATTTTTCTTGTTTTATTCCTAACCATCGGCACGGATTCTGTATGTGCACTGGCAATCTGCATGTGGTCAGAGGAGCCACGACCTTCTCCAAAACAGCACGGAGCATAATCCTTCCCATTCTGCCTTAACGCCTGCAGTAAACTAAGTTCCAATTAACCCAGCTAGAAAGGCAGGCTTTGGGGTGAGTTTGAGTAAGTGGCAGGAGGAAAGTACAGGTGTAATTACACAAGCAAGGCAAGCAATTAGAGGTGGAGCATAACAAACCAGCAGCCCCGAGGTATTTACCAAGTCATTTGAGCGCTGTCACCCTAACTGCAGTCATACCCACGTGCAAAAACCAAGGGCACATTCAGAAGAAACAGTCTCAGCCAGGGAGTCTGTCCCCTCAGCTGTGGGTTTACTGATGCTCTTCCGTTGGCATCAGCTGTATCTATGCTTATTTCTGTAATGCTGAATACTGTTTCCACACCTTACTGGGCTTGACTGTCCACTCGGTTATATCTAAATCAACTGTGAAACCAGGTAATCCTGTGTAAAGCCAGTATACCTCAGCAGGGACTCTAGTTCCTACATATTTACTACTAGGGTCGATTTTTTTATTTGTCTGTAACCCCAAAAAATCATCTGCTATTATGTCGAGAGGATGGCCTGGCAAGTATTCAAACTCAAGCATTAATTTCTGTGAGTAAAGGAGCCAAAGTACTGGCTGTGACTGTAAGTTTTAGTCTTGCCTGCACTTGTTATCATCAATACAGCTGTTAAAAGAGAAATTGTTTACTGCAAACAAAGGGTAATGGTTTCTCTTTCTGCAATCTCCTTCCTACATATTTTTGAATTATTTATCTTCTCCCCCTCTGCAATTCCAACAAATGAGGTGAAAATGATCTGAGCAGTACTCACTCTAGGGTCACCTGTGCCACAGCATCCATAGAACTGTATCCATTCTCCATGAAGATCTCCGTGTACCGGCCCATTTTGATGGCTTCCAGCCATTCACCCACCGATCTGTAAGCACCGCTCCCCACTGGACTGTGCTCTACCAACAGATTTGATACTCTAAAGACAAGCAAAAACAGAGAAGCAAACAGAATCAGTATCATGATGTACCCAGCGTGACTCAGTTGCCTGCATTTTCATATGGTAAAGATGACTTTTTTGTTGCCTTTTCAGTGATTGCTGATCAGCAACTGATTCAGCCTAAATCCTCCCAGAAGGCTTAATATACATGTATCAAACACAACGCTTCAGCTGTAACTTCACCCACTTTTGAGTTAGTTCCTGCTGTTTCTGGTCCTCACTGCAAAGAGAAAGAAGAGGAGAGGACTATAATCCATCCCTGTTACCTCTCACTCACAAACAGGCTCCTCTTCTGTCAGGCTTCCCCGGTCACTCTGACTTCAAAGTCTTTGGCTTCACTCCTCCCGCTCTGTTTTCTTCCTCCTTCTCCTTTAAAGCTCATAATTAACTTAAGACAGCCTGGAAGCCAAAACCCAAATTACATTTCCCAGCAGTGTCAGCCATCAATGGCGGGCTGCTGTTAACACTTCAGGGGCTGCTCCCGCAGAGTCGGGTGGGGATTTCGGATGCGGGCAGCCTCCGACAGCCCTGCAGAGAGCAGCAATGCTCCAACCACGCTCCGGCCCTGAAGCCAGAGGTAGCCTCCTGCTCCCCCACCCTTGCTCCAGACCTCCCCGCAGCAACTGTTACCTGCTTGGTTATGCCACGCACAGAAGCAGCAATTCAGGCAAATAATAATCCTTTACCGCGCCAGGAACACCGATATGGTCAGTACCTGGCACAAGCAACCCGTGCTGCATACAGGTCCACCACCCTACTAGTGATGAGGAGAGTAAAGGGGGCTTGTCCAAGGTCAGCCAGGAAAGAAACTAGATTTGTCCCCTGCTTTGTAAACTAGGACACACAGCTAACATAAGCCTCGCATAAAGATTATTACCCACAGGTAAAAAAACGTTTTCTGGGTCATCCTCTGATGGTGAGAATTACAGTTAAAAGACTTTCAACTGGAAGGAGAGCAGGGATATTGTATTATTATAGCACTTCAGGAATCTTCATATATTTTATGAGCACATTAGTATTATTTGTTTATTTAATAGCAATGCTGAAGGGTCCAATAAAATGTGAATACTTGCAGTACCAAGAACATAATGGCTTCCCATAACATTTTATACACATGAGGAATTCAAAACTCCTAAGTAATCATAATGAGAAGTGGATTTTCATCACTAATGTCAGGAGGTACCTACTGATATGCACACACTGTAATGTAGAGAGTGACTTCCTCCCTTATTTGCATTAATGAGAATTTCCATAAAGAATACATTACATATATAAAAAAATCCTTTACAGCTGCTGTATGCTGAAATTATGATTCATTTGGAATTACTATGGTCTGAGCATGGCAATCTATGATTATAGAAACACAGTCCCAAAGCCTGGCTGTTCAGGTGCTCCATCCACATAGAAAATACCCACAGCAGCTCTGAAAAGGAGATGTTTGGAATTGCATAGACCTGTTCATGGAATAAATCATCAGCAAATTGCTTAGCAGCTCAACGGAATGGTTTGCTGCCTATTTTCCTTTTTTCTGGCACAACAGTTTGGTATAAAAGAGTGCATGAGCCACCGCATAACAGGCCTAGAAAATGACTGTTCTGAACTTAAAATAAAAGAGAAATATCACATTTTTTATGCTATCATAAACTTTTTCCTGCAGGTTTGCTGGGACTGACATTACATCTAATTGCTAATAAGAGTAATTTCTTCTTCAGATGGTAAATGTAAAATAGTTAGAGGAATCAGATCTATCTTGTATTTAAAAATTAACAGAGATTTCATGTTTCTTCTCTTCCAGTTCATGAGATGCCATGCATTGGGACCAGCCAGGACAGGGATGTGAGGTCCAGCTGCAACAGGTGAGGTGGGCCACATGCAGCTGTGCAAGACTCACTTGGAAGGTGTGGAGAGGGTTGGGTCTAAGCTCACAACAGTACATCTGCTTTGGTCCACATCACCAGTCTAACCTCATCTTACATCCCTCTCATTCCTGTCCAAGGAAAATGACATTTTTCTCCTCTGAGAATAGTTTTTCTGAAGGGCCCCTTCCAGTGTTAACACGGGAACTCCACTGCCATCAGTGAAGCAGCAATGATTTATATTCATCACTTCTTCATGACCTTGCAAGGGACTAAGTGATGAGAAACACAGATGGCTTAGAAGTAATACTTGTGGCTTACAGTGAAAAAGAAAAAGCCTTTAAAAGACTCCAGTATGGTGGAGACTCCAATATTAAAACTCACTAAAAAAATATTAATCTCTTTTTTCCCCAAGTGCATCTTTATTTCTTGACTGTATTTACCTTACCTGTAGCTGTGCAGCTGTCCAGATTCATGTTTAATTGCACGCTGGTTGCTCTATTCAGTCAATGTGGTTTTAGCAAATGGTTTGTGTACAGCTCTTTGGGAACCACAGAAATCCTCTCATGATTACCAAGACTGTCAGAACTGGTGGTGGCAGCTAGCACACCTGGGAACAGTTGTGGGAGGATGCACTTGGACATCCATGAGCTTTGCACTTCCTAAGAGTTTCCTCAAGAGAAACTCTTAATTTATATTACCAAGATAAAGTCAATAGGCGGGTAATTTGAGCAGCATTTACTAGCTACTTCATGCACTCAAGTCTCTAACCTTGGGGTAGAGCACAGGTAGCTTTATCATAGGCCTATAAATACTGCTGAAACTCCTGTTTCTGAAAGAGAAGCCACAGTAATTTTCTTTGTGGCAGCAGCACTGCATTTATAGAGTAACTGAACTGCTCACCTGCCTGCCAATTTCAACAGAAAAAGTTGATTTGGGAAAACTCCCCTGGGCTTAATGAAGCTGGAGAACATCCACTGGTGGACACACGCAGGCTAAATAGTAAGCGGTAATTCAACAACAGGGAGCAGGTATTCAGACAAGGATCTCACTCTGAGAAATGGCTCTGGCCTGAGTTTGTACCTGCTCGATGCATTAACCAACGTCTTCAAGCTGCTTGGGTTACGGATGAGCTTGTCCAACATGCTGACAATTTCGTCAAACTTGGGCCTGCTGTTGCGGTCTTTCTGCCAGCAGTCGAGCATTAGCTGGTAGAGAGCAGCAGGGCAGTCCATGGGACTTGGCAGGCGATAGCCTTCCTCCACAGCTTTAATCACCTGCGGGAGACAAAACACGAGCCTGATGGGTTGCTTTTCCTCCTCTCGCTTTTTTCCCAAATGCAAATTGACTTAAACAGAGAACTTTGGGAGTAGCAATACGCTCACGTGAAACCCTCAACTCTCCACACAAGAGGCAAATCAAGTAAACCCCACTATTTTTCATATTTTCTACAGGGTGAGTTGAATGACTTAACTTTGGTCACTGCAAAAGGAATCTAGAAAGCCAAGGCACTGCTGCAGTCAGGGGGGTCAGACGTGCAGGTTGCACTTGTTCAAAGCTCAGCTGAGCTCTGTAGGTTATATTCCAGGAAACTCTCGGAGCCTACCTTAAGTCCATGCCAAGCAGCCTATGGGGCTTTCTGGCATCTTCTTGGGGTGCAGTGATTTTGTTTATTCAGATGTTGGCTTCTTTTTAAATGGAAAGGCATGTGCTAGACCACAAATTTGTATTACAGTTATAAAAGTCTGACTGTATTTTAAAAGAGACTTTGAATGCTAATTGATGGATGGATTCAAGGCAGAGGCAGAACAACCATCTCATATATCATTCAATACTGTCTGGGTCTAGACATTTCTTAGTGTGGCCACATTTCTGCCAGGAATTTAAAATGTCAGCCCAAGAGTATGTAAACTAAAACCAGGGGAGAGTTGTTGCACTGATTTCAAATACAAACCATCTATGGTTCTAGATCTAAAACAAGTGACATGCACATGTGCTGCCTGCCCTCAAATTGCAGAAATTAATAAATGAGGGCAGAATTGAGGAAAGGAACTTGTTTTTCCCAGTTTGGGGCGGATTTACAACAGGGTTTCAAGCCCAACAGTTCCCATTATGAACCATTATGATTTTCAGGAGAATGCGGCTCACATTTCAAGCCACAGGGGTCTGCAACCATGCCAGGAGAGTCCCAGCAGCCCATCTTCACACCCTCTATTCCCAAGACTCCTTGACCAAAAGGAGCTGGAAGCAGCTATTTGCTATGTGGAAAACCACAGTGCCTCACTGTTGGACTCCAGGGACTGCCTCAGATGCCATTCATTCTAGACACTGTCTCACAATTTAAAAACATCCTGTGTTCAAAAAGAAGGTTAGCTGTGGTTAGCATGGAAGTTGGCTTTTGGATCTTTAGTCCCTATGCGAGCAGTACAGGAAGAGTCAGGCTGGCATTGCATTTCAGAAGGCTCCAAAATTCAGGACTGCATGGATCTCTTTCAAATCATGCTCCATCACAGGGCTTTTTGCCAAGTGGAAGAGCCTCAGGAATGAGCCAGGCTGGCTGAGCAGCAGTAGTGGGAACCTCAAACTCCCTAAGGACATACATATAGGAGAAGTAGTTAGGTGAGGCTTTGCAATCTTCTCCAAGGGTAGTAAGCACATCTGAAGATCTGACCCATAAGACCTGCTGTCTTTTTGCACCCCTCTAAGATTTCATCTGTCGGTGGGGCAGTTACATTGCTCTCCACCCAACCTACACTTGCAAAGCAATCTCTTCTACAGCCTGGCTTTTGCTCACAGCATCAAAAACCAGCCCCATCACACTATGCTATCTGCACTGTCTGTTCTTCACATCATGCTTTTCAGTAGGTCACTGATTCCAAATCTGCAACTGCCCTATAAAAAAAGCCTCAGTGTGGCACAGCCACAAGAACATTATTTGCTGTGTCTGTATTTATACCAGTAACAGATAATCCTCCAGCCATAGCAGAAATAAAATAGTAGCAAGAAGGGGATCAGACCATCTGGCACCAGCTCAGAATATCTGAACTACATCTGCAATGGGGTTATGCATGTTTGATATTCCTGGCAGTAACATCACAATCAATAGTGTTAACTCAATTTACAGGATGTCATTCGTTCTGATGGTACAATGTAAATGGTATCAAAATACTGTGAGGAGCTAGGATGCTGAAATACGCTCTTGCATCTGAAGGTGCCTTGGGGGTCTGGCAATAAGAAAAGCAAAAGAACAAAACAACAAAGACTGAGTCACTTGTAGCCACCACAGTACCTAAAAAATAAGAAAATAGCACATTCACTGTTCCATGCATTGGTGTGCACTGCTTTGAAAGACTTGAAGAGCTAAAATTTGCACTTTTTTTTGTGCAAATGCTAAAATTTGCACCATAAGGAGGCATTTTTGTCGCTATTCCTCCTCTCCTGAACAAGTGCTACTCATGGATTGGGGTGACTGAACTGGATGTTTGGGAGAGGACTATTTGGGATAGTCTGTTACAGTAAACCAAGGCAACACTTTCAGACCTGTGTTTTTGTAAAACCACCAGTCTGCAGACTAAAAAACCACCACTGTGATCATTTAGCTTATCAACCTGTGTAACACAGGCCACAAAATTCCTCTCAACAATTCCTGCATCAAAGCCTTATCTTGTGGTCGAGTTGAAGCATATTTTTTAGAAGGCCATCCAGAAACCAGCATGACTTTAAAAACATGGTTTGTAGCCTTCGCAGTTAAAACACTGCCTGCCCTACAGCACTGCACCTCCTTTAAAGCAATCCGCCTGTAAGATGGTAAGAATCATTTTGCTCATCACCAACTGTGCTTGCAAACAATGTACTTTAATTACAAGCCTTTCAACAAGAAACTTGTGCAACTGAGTCTGAAATTCATGTGAGCAGAGTCCCCCAGTCCTCCACATGAAAGCCAGTGCTATATCTAATGCCATGAATTCTTCTGCCAACACAAGCAGGGGAGGAAAGAAGAGGAGGCCTTCAGAAGATGAAGGAGGAAGGCATAAATCGCATGAGAAACATGCCACAGCACTGAATTAAGTTTCCTAGGCCACCACCATCCAAGCACTTGCCACCTGCACATACGCAGAGAGGTAATGCAAGCAAAGCCTGAGGAGGAACTGACAATCATAAATAGTCCCCCATCACTTCTTCTCAGGCAAGTGTGAAATTCACTCTGTGCCCCGCAGTGCATGAAGGCATTTGGGCTTTTCGGAACAGTTCTGTGGATGTTCATAGCATTATGATCTAGAGAAGGGACTCCCCTGGCCACAGAGTGTTATTTCACTGGCACCAGCCTGAATCTTAGCCTGGCATTTACTGAACAACATCTGTGCTATGTTGGTGTGTCAGCATTAAAGATAGTTACAGTGCTCAGTGTGACTGAAAAAACTTGTCTCTCAATTGCTGCATTCTCTGCACAGGCTATGGAAGAAAGTCTCCGTATTTGATTGAGATAAATCCCTGTGTAGATACATGCTGTTTTACCAAACTCCCTGCAAATGTGAAAGCTTCAGCAATGCAGAAGCGGTGGGGCATTCATGCCAAACAACACGCTCATCTCCCTGGCAAGAAGCACGGCGTGACTGTCTCAAAGGTACCACTTGTTTCCACTCCTGAACTCAAAGCAAGATGAGACGGCAGCTTGGTGTGACAGGTAGTAACATCCGCTAATGGCAAAAACACAGGAGAAACAGAATGCTCCACCAGAGCCTTTGCTGCCAGCAAAACAGCAGAAAGTCACAGGGACAGAGATGATGCTCAAAGAAGAAAAAAGGATAAAACATCAAGTGTTGTGACCAGAGGAAACCTATGGTGGAGCAAGGACCTGCTCGCTTTGCCCAGCAGGCAGCAGCATCTCAGAAGGTGGCAGGGCTGCAGAGATGAAGTGGGAGGGATGAAGAATGACATTTGTCACACGCAGAGTGGTGTGTTTCCCTCACCCATCACAGAGCTGCTTTGGGAGTCCTGTGTGCCCCACTGTGACCCCAACCTCATCCACTAGCTGGCACCCTCAGAGGCCTCCACATGTCATGGTTCTCAGAGATGTGAAGAGGAAGGAGAGGCCTAGAAAATCTGGCAATCCCAGGCTTAGAATTTTTTAGCCTTAGACAAGGACAGATGTTTATGGTGAGCTCAGGGTAAGAGGTAGCCCTGCAGTAGGATCAGAAGATCCTTACGAAGGCGGGGATCAGAGCTGCAGTCAGGAGAGAGACAGTGTCCCCAGGCATCTCCCTGTTGCAGATGCTTCAGAGGGTGGCCTTGGGGTCAGAGGCTTGAGGAGGCACTGGGGTCCAGGAGCAAGGTGACATAACTCGAAGGGTGCTGTACAAATGAAGCATGAGAGTTTGAGTTAGCACAGACTTACAAGATGTTCACAACAGGAGCAAAACTATGCTCTCGAGATCAGCAATGCAAGGGCAACTGAGACGCAGCTCTCTGGACTGCTGTCAGTAGATCAAATCACCCAGCTTTTGTGCAGGGAAACAAAGCCCTTACCATGACTCTTCTTGCATTTCTGCTTTATGTGTCAGTAGGGGTTTGAACATACAATTGAAATGATGCCAGTTTATCAGCATCTATCCCCTGGCAGACCTCTGTCATTAAGCAGAGGAGGGACAGGCTCCAGCTCTAACAGCATTAGTGAAGCTCCAGTGGTCTGCTGGGGGAAGCAGACACATTTCCCTCTGTGCACAGCCTGTTCTGGGCTGCTGCTACAAAAAAAGAGCATTAAACGAGGGGCTTGTTTTTGTCTGGCAAAATGAGGGAGCGAAGCCATTTTTACAGTGGCTCTCCTCTTCTTGTCCCCATCCTGCCTCTCTGATTGCAGAATGAACACCAAGCCCTCAAAGTCCCATCATGCGGCAGCTCTCACACGTGCTTACATCTTGGTTTGTCATTTCCCAGTAAGGCCTCTCGCCGTAGAACATCACCTCCCACATCACAATGCCGTAACTCCAGACATCACTGGCTGACGTGAATTTGCGGAAGGAGATCGCTTCAGGTGCCGTCCATCGGATGGGGATCTTCCCCCCCTAGAAGGAAAAGATAAGATAAAAAAAAACAAAAACAAAAACCAGATTGCAGAGGAGGACACGCAAAAAAGGATGAAACAGCACTTCTTAGAGCACTGAGGGATGTGGTTTTCTCTCTGGAAAGAGACATCGAATTTTAAAGTAAATCTGTTTGACAGCATGGGGCCCCTTTCCACATTATCTCAGCCCATAAGCATTTGTAGGCTGCCTACTAATTGGCTGTCCTGAAGGTTTGTTGTTTGAATGCTGTTTGAATGCTGGGACATGTATAGGATCAACATCTCAATTATGTTGCACGGGTTGGTAGGGGAATACAGTTCCTCCGTTTCTGAGAGCGAGTGGGGGAGGAACAGACAGCTCTGAAGCCAAGGAAGACTTTGATCTAACGAGGGCTTCATGCAAATTGCTGCGGAAGTAATGCCCTTTTTTTCTTTTCTTTTTTTTTTTTTTTTTTTTTTTTTTTTTTTTTTTTTTTTTAATGCGGTCCTGATCCTGCAGAGACATCTGCGTAGCGGGCACAGAAATGTGTGTGTGCAAAGACCAGCCTGCTTGGCCTCTGCTGTGGGACTGAAAAGGATGCCACAGCTGTCAAATGTGCTTTGCTCTTTCCTTTTCCCCTTTCTGCCATTTTAGAAATCAAACTTCAGACCAGCTCTGAGAAGGAAGAGGGGAGGGAAAGGGGAGTTTGTATCAAGGAATACTTTTCTCATTGGGTTTAAAGAGCTGTCTCCCTTGATTTATATCAAAATACATTTTTCTGTGAAGTCCCTTTCTCCTCTCAGTGTTGAGCTAAATATTGGAAGGTCTCCCTGAATGTCCCCTAACAGTGTTTGTTATTGGAAAAAGGCAGAATTTGGAACACATTTTCAAAGAAAATTATAAAAAGTCCCTTCTTCCAATAATTATTTATTCACAGGCTTATCAGCGCATTCCTTAAATGAGGGGCCAGATTCTCAGCAGTGCCAATTAGCACATGGCAACACATTGTAGCCGCAGCAGGGCTGGCCGAGAGCCCTCCAGCCTGCAGGGAGACTCTGGTCCAGCCATGCACCAAGTCCCATTGTGTGGCCATGACTGCCAAGAGCTGACAGGCCTTTCCCAGATCTCTGCAGGAACTGGGAACGTGACCCAGAGAGTTTCCACCACCCATAAAACAATACTCTTGGAAAAACACACTAACCAGACACACCCAGGTGTGCCAATCACTGACATGAATATCAGAGGCTCTGTCCAAGCCTGCACTGCTGAGAATGGGTCCTGTCCATCCCCTCTCTGCAGCGCTGGGGCCACATGGCCTTGCACTGGAGTGGGTGGGCTGATGCCCTGAAAGGATGGATCAAGGATGGAAAAGCACTGGGCACTAAGGCTGGAGCAGCTCTTTCTCAGGTTGGGGGAAATTACCCTCAACAGGGTAACATTGCGGGCAATGTGTGTCATTTGCAATGGGCATTGCAGGCTTACCAATGGTTTAAAAGTGTCAAATTGTCCAGAAGACCATGGCTTCCATCTCTGCACGGGTGCCTAAGCAAAGAACTTGCTCTTGCTCTTTCCTACCTTTGGTGTTCACCAAATACGACAGAATAGAGCTAGGAGCATGTCACCTTTGCAGTTTGCAGGTGCCCAACATGAACTTAAAAGTTATTAGTTAAGTTCTGCCTTATTTGGCCATCCCCACTACAAAACTACAGGCATTTGCAAAGTTAATCTGATAACGATTAACTGGTAACACCTAGCCAAACTCTCACGCACAGTTTTAAAGGCTCTGGATTTGTAGAAACCTCTTTGCTAGAGAGCCTGAACACCAAAATGTGGCAGGGAATACATTTTTCTTGAGCTCAATCAGTTTGGTATCCTTATAACTCACCCTGGTTGTGTACGCTGCTTCAGGGTCATCTTCTAGGACCCTGGAGAGGCCGAAGTCTGACACCTTGCAGACTAAATTGCTGTTGATTAGGATATTCCTGGCAGCCAGATCTCTGTGTACGTAACCCATGTCAGACAGGTACTTCATTCCTGATGCGATGCCTCGCAGCATCCCAACCAGCTGAATGACCGTGAACTGCCCATCGTTCTTCTACAAAAGGAAGGAGACATTTGATCGGTTGAGAGTCTCTGCACCCTCAGCATTGCGTGTGCATGAATAAAAATGCAAAGGCAAGTCTCCAGGGAAGAAAACCAGGGAAATTAATAATTCATTACTCTCATGCTCTGACCATGAAGGTTTTCAAAGTTTCACTGTTTGGATTAGGATCTCTAGAGAAAAAGCTAAGGAAATGTAGTTCTTTTAACTGGAGATCAAGGAGCAAGCTATTTCCACTGGTGACTGATAAAAGAGACCGCGACTGGGAGTGAACACATGTAGTTACGTGTATAAAGGCACCGGAGTGGGCCATCTCCAAGTCAGCCAACTGAATGGCACCAAGCTGCACGGAAATCCTACCGCAGAGGTCCACATGTGAATATGTGGGGGTAGGGGCTCTACCCCATGTTGCCATACCACATTTCTAACCACTTCCCTTATTGTCCCTTCTCTAGCTCTCACATTTCATGGAAAATCTCTCACCCAAACCAAGGTCCCTCTGGAAAAGGGATCCAAGTGTTACCTTTAAAAATGTATCCAGAGAACCATTCTCCATGTATTCAGTCACTATCATTACTGGTTTGCCTGGAAAAAGTGCATCAGTTCGTTAGCAATTTATTTAAAAAACATGAACAGTAATAAAGTCTTTTCATACTGCATCTGAATATACAGCCATGTATGTGAATATACAGCCATGTAACAGTAAATCTACATCAAGACACTGCTGTCCCAGCAGGATGACAAGAGTTTTTGCCAGAATTAATGTAGAAATAGAGAAATCAAGGAGGGGGTGTGTGTGAAAAAGTAATCCCGTATTACGGGTGGGGTACCAAGCCCTAGAGTGTTTAGATAATGTTTGAGGAAGAGGTTGCAAGCTGAACCCAGACAACCTACAGACAACCTTCTCATCTCTGTGAACAAGCTGAAAATTTGAAGAGGCTAAACTGCACACAGCAACATCTTTGTGCTCTTCCCTACAGTTTCAACTCTATGAAGTAACAATGGAAGCCCAACAAGAGCAACTAGGATGATCTGAAGTATCTATCTGAGCTTGGTAGCCACCAAAACCAAGACCAGGCAAGGATGGGATTATATCCCTTGTAATTCAAGGAATTCCATGTGACTACACTTGTAAACACATCTGGAAGTAAGAAAAGGCATATTTAGGCTGCAGAACAAAAGCGAGTGAAGTATGGAATGAGTGCGAGTAGAAATCAAAATAAAAGTTCTTAACAAAAGACCTGGTCTCCTATTGTTGACAGGAATAATAATGTTTTTCCAAATCCATTTGATTAATTTTCATGCCCGAGTCATTTTAATGGTAATTATATATAGTTTTTGCTTGGTTTTTATATCTAATTTCTCGCTAGCTTGCCACAATGACATAGCAATAATTAATGTGGTGTGCTCCAGTCCTTGTAAATTCAATGAAATCTTATAAGAACATGTAAATTATTTTTTATTTAAATCAATTTCCATTAGCTAGCATGAAGCACAGACAAAAGAGGAGCTGTCAATTATTTGTAAAGTGCATTATAAATGTCTTTCATACAAATGATCAACGAGAGCTGCTGTGTGTCATAACATGCACATGAAGGTAAATGCTCCTAAAAAATCAGCACATGTTCTACCACTTAGATTGATCTTAATCTTCCCACTTTCCCATTACCTTAAATATTTGCCTAATTTACTGCTTAATTATCTACATAATAAAGATAATTGTGAACTTGTCAATCAAAACACTCATTGTTGTGCAGATACTACCTTTGCAGCATGAGGGAACTGCACTGCTTCAGTTCTTTTAAGTTAATATCATAGCTACTGCTTGAGCTCAAATCTTGCCAAAAGTATTATCTTTGATATGAGAAAGACACCTCGGGGCCAGGAAAAATATCATTGAGCCCTGAATAAAATAATGGGTCTCATCTTCAAGGATGACAGCTGTCTGTCTATGCACAACATGGACTGCATGCAGGAGGGAGAAGAGATCTCAGGTGATGCTGCTATAGGTTAGCAAACACAATAGTGGCTATGCAGTGAAGGAAAATCCCAGGTATATCTCAATTTCTTTTTTAATTTTTTGTTTTTAAACACTAAACCCCTAACTGTAGCATGGGGTCCCTTATCTCTGACACTTCAAGGCAGTGTTGCAGCAGAGACGGATGTCTCGTTACGCCATCACCCTGGGGGACCTCCTTCAGACTCTCGTCTTTGGTTGCCATTAGAGAAAAGAAAATAAGATTTCTGGCAGTTATGTTTCATTATCTGACTGATGCAGGTTGACAGTAATCATGGAATAAATTAGCCCCGTATCCAAGAGCATGGAAATAAAGACACGAATAGAGTAACTTTAAACAAAGTAAATTAAAAGTAAACATTGGCCCTTCTAAAGCACTGGGCTGATTCTCCCTGTCAGCAGTGCTCCCTCCCGCTGGCTTTACGGAGACACAAAATGTCGGGAGATGTCATTCTTCTGAATGTACTAATGCAATGTGCACACCATCAGTGCAACCAAAGGGGATGTGAATGAAAACAGGACTATCATTACCTTTGTAAAACAGAAATAGCTAAGGGGTTGTCTGCACGGGGACAATGAAGACAATTAAACCAAATTAACTAAGGTGTGCATTTGAACTAGATTAGTTAAATGGTATTAAGCCCCTGTGCTGATATTCTCATTCAAAATTAAAAATGGCCTAATTCAATTTAACTTAATTTACTTCTGAAGTAAATCAGGATGCAGCAAAGACATTTTACCCTAAAGATCTGAATCTACGATAGGGAAGTGACTAAAACACTGGAGGGAAAAAGAAGTTAACAGTATTTTGAGATCGCAGTGTAGTTTGGGATTCATAAGGGTTGTTTTGGTCCATTTAAAATAAAAGAAAAAAGCTGGGAAGATGCTCCAGATGCCTGATGGAAAAACTTCTGAGTGCAGTAAACAAGCATTGAGCTAATGAGGAGCTCAGGGTGCATGTACCTCCCTGTATCAAACTCCAGTCACTCCAAGTCCAATTTAGAAGCAAAGCTCCTGGCATTTCCACAGCCTTTGGAGTAGCCACTTTATATAAAAGGCAGCTTGCTAGGGAGACATATCCTCTCTAAAAGTGGGATTCCCACCCATACCTTGAGGCTCTGGCAGCCAGAAGGACTCATCCCCATGTCAGCAGCAGCTTTTATGGATGCATAATTGTCACTCACTTCCTGCCCAATATCCCACACATCGCTGCAGAGCTAGAAGTGGGAGCTTCTATGTATTAAGGGCTACACAAGGTGACCCTGAGAGATTTTGATATTTATTCAACTTTTGGGAGAAACCTATCTTGGTTATCTTTTCCTCTTCTTAAAAGTTTTAAGAAATGCAATTTCAAGGAAAAATGCAAGTAAAGGCCGTGGATTGCAAAATAGCATTGATTTTGAGTAGGTTATAAGGATATGAACAGGACAACCAGCTAGCATCTCTGTACCCTCTCTACTGCAGCTCTGAAAAAGAACTATTTTGGAGACACTGCCTCTGATGAATGACAAATGGTACTGACAGCAGCCACATGGCCCCAAACGTCAGCATTTGAATGGTAGTAGCTAAACTCTGACATTACCAATCATGAAGACAAGAAGGATGAAACTCCTGTGAGGCTGGTGCTTCTTCAGCTATCAAAAACTTCTGAAACACTAAAAATATATCTTAAAGGAGAAGTTGTTTTCAACAAAAAAAATCCTTGATGCAAATAATATAGATCCTCCAAGGCTTTAAAATGGAAGTGTAACAACACCTCTGCACCTTTTCCACAGCCTGAGTACAGCATCAATAGCCAGACAGGCTTGGGCTGGGCACATTCAGATGTGCTGTCCCTTCCTCTGCCTTTATCTTTGGAGAACTGGGCTGGGAAAGTTATGGAAGGTTATTTTGCTATCTGAGCAGTCAAGACCTCAATAACTCTCATGCTGGGATGTTTTGCCAGTCATTTCACATTTTTCCCAAGCCCTCAATCCCTCTCATAATCTCTATGCTATCTTGAGGGGCAACTATTACCACGGGCATCACTAGCAGATCCCAGAGGGAGCTTGCATTAATTGTGGTTTTACACAGTCCTGGCGTCTTCAGCTACACTCCCATTCTTCCCTGCTTCTGGAAAGCAAAACTTCCAACTTCTGTCCTTGCTCACATCCCGTGTGAGTGATCACAAGGCTCTGTGCTACCCTCCTGTGGGCTTTGTTTCAGTGGTTTCTCAAAATATGATGGCTGGAAATCATTGGGGGTTGTGGGTTGGGGTTTTTTTTCAGACTCTTGGTAGCAAAATCCTCCCTGTTTCCCTTGCCAGGGAAATTGCTTCCCACTTCTTGGCATATCTTTGCTCACCCTGAGGCTCATGTGGTTTCAAAAGTAAACAAATAAAGGCAGGAATAAGAAGTGAGCCTTCTCGAAAAACTTAGAGGGTGGCTTGGCGTTGTTGTGTTAAAAATGCTCTTGCATTTTGCAAGCGGAGGTGCTGCTAAATTACTTGCAAGCCAGAAGTCAGGCAAAACACTTCACCAGCATTACATCCCAGGTTTACTGCCCTCTTCATCACCCGCCCACTGCCTGAGGCTGGCCAGGCATATCATCTCCTATTTCTGTCTCATTTAATTTTGGGCCTCTGAAGAGGGGTTTTCTCTTAGCCCCTGCATATTATGCCTACGTGAGGCAAGGTTTACAGAGGGAGTTAACATTTTTTATAATTTTAGCCATTATCTATCCATTCTAGCTGGGAGAATGCTGAAATCTTTTGGGCACAAGAGATTGCTGGGGAACCTGTTCCTGATTGGACCTACAAAGTGTGACATTTCAGGCAAGTGGATTCACTGTTTTTTGAGAAATTATGAAATGTCAAAATGCGAGTTACCCAAGTCTTCCTTCCCTAACCAACTCTCCCAGAAGCCAGAGTTCAAGGCTAGCAGTCTGCAGCAACTTGTACCTACTTTTTGTGACGACGCCTTCCAGGTGGATGATGTTGGGGTGGTCAAACTGCCCCATGATACTTGCTTCTCCCAAGAAATCTCGCCTCTGCTTCTCTGTGTAGCCCACCTTCAGGGTTTTGATAGCCACTGGAAACTCACGCTTTCCCTGAAGCTTCAACCGCCCACTGCAGACTTCCCCAAATTCACCTTCAGAGAAAAATCGTAAAGAATGGGATCACAGCATATTGAAGGAATGCACGGCATGCATCCGTCTACAGTGTGCAGCCCAGCCCCTATAGATAGCTGATCAAAAGCAGGCATGGCTGTCCTGCATTCATGGATGTGGGAAGCTGAATTTCACAGTGATCACCATCTCAAATACCTCGCCTACCACAAACCAAGTAATTCGTAAGCACAAGAAAACTAGGAAGAAAAATGCAATTTCCCTATATTTAAAGAGCTATGCTCTATATTCTATGGGGCTTTTTCCTCATTTCATGTTTTTATCTACTAGATGAAAGAGTGCTGTCACATCCTGTATCATCGCCCTACGTAGATAGCTGTAAAACACAAGCTACTTGCTTCTTAACCTTCCTTTGGTAAGTTAAATAGATGGAATGCTGTTAGCCTTTCACAGCAACATATATTTTTATAGACTATAAACCCTTTCCAATTTTATGACCACCTTTTTTAAAAGGAAACTCAAATGGATTTTTTTTTTCTTTTTTTCTGGTGAACAGTAAATTACTGCCGAAAACACAACTTCAGAGGATAAAAAATATTCCTAAGGTTGGATGCAAGTCCAAACAAACAGCTTAACTGGAAAGAAAATAGGAGTTTCTTCTTTTAACCAAGGAAATTACAAGCATTGGACTTTGGTTTGTGCTTTTTTCTCTCCCAGATGACTTCTTATTCTTAATTTTTGCTTCGAGACTCACCTTAGTGGGAGAGGAGAAAAAGATTAAAATGTAGAAGAGAACCTGAAAATTAAGTGACTCATTTCCCCTAGCTTGGTCCAAACATGACCATTTTCTGTAATTTTCAATTCAGTCCCTTAATTTCAAAACCACAATGACAGGTTTGTCCTTAACTGCAGCTGGAACACACTCCCCATCACTTGCAGGGTACCTAACAGCACAAATATTTCATAGCCCTTCCCAGATCTCTTGTGTTAAGAAAGCCAACCCTCCAGGCTGCTAAGGGTCATGAAATGCATCATCATACCAGCTCCAATAACTCTTTCAATGGTTATGCATGAAGCTTCAATTTCCTTAGCAAACTCATGGACAGCTTGATTAGGGTCTTCATAGGTGTGGGGGTCAATGTAGGTCCTCACTCCAGGCAGCTTAACTGCAAACACAAATTAAGAGTGTTAACAGCACATGGCATGAAAGAAGACGGGCGATACACACTCCTGTCCCTTGCACTCTGCTTTGCTGGAAAACGCTGCAGCAGGGAAACCTATTTCTATGGGAAAAATAAATAGTGTTCTTGGAAAATTACATTTAGTTTATACACATGTGCAACTTCATCGCATTTAAAAAAGCACACGATAGGGCTCAGTTAGAACAATGCGCAGCTAAAAATCCTTCTCCGTGCTGTATAACAGGCTGTTCCAGGGTCTAGTGCAAAAGGATCCCTTTCTGGATCTGGAAAGGGTATGCCAGGAGAAAAAGTACAAAAAGCAAAATGTTAAGGGAACAACCTGCAAAGCAAGTTGGATGGATGGGGGTTGATAGAGACCTGAAATAAATTATGCCCTACCAGTCACATATTAGCTAATCAATCGACCACATTATTTCAGATCGAGTTACTGAGATTTAAATGATCTGAATATTTGCAGTACAAAGACTGTGGGTTGTACCAGTATAAATATAATCAATAGCAGGCTTTTTCTCCAGGACTTGAGAGGGGGAAAAAGTATTTTCATTATGAATATTATAAGTTTGTTTTGACAGTCATTAAGGCTACTCACATGAAGAACTGCTCATCAGTCTAATAAGACAGCTACATTACACTGTGGCTCTTAATTGATTTGCTTCCTGCTGCCTTCATTACATAGCACTAATGGAAATCTGACTTTCACTCAAGATGCGTTTGCCTCTTCCACCCCAAAAGACACCTCGCTGTTATCCATCCCTAGATCCCACAGCACTTGATGAAGGAAGGCTTTTCAAATGCTGGCTTTGAATGTACAGAAGGACTGACAATAACCCTGAGATGTGCTTTCTAGCATCACCACAGAGGTTTTTTTGTATGTAAGGACATTAAAACAGAATTTCTGAAAGCTTCCTAGGAGCAAAAAGTAGGTGTTATTCCTCACGCCTCTGCAGAGGCATCCAAGGCAGAGTAGCTGTGGGCCTGATCCTCATGGCTGGCTGGAACAGAGCAAGGATTTCAAACAGGTATTCTGCACTGACACATCCAAACCACAAAAATGTAGAGTCGTTATACGCTGACAAGGCAAAATTAATAGCACCTTGGGTCACACAGCAAAGACAGGAACAGAACAAAATGGCTTGCTAGAGAGATCTGCTGCAAATGCACAGGTGTGAATAGCTGGGCACGTATAAGGACCATTCAAATATTCAGTTCTCCACTGACTTAAGAGCAGGGGCAGGTGGGGACTGATAGAATAACAGAACAATTATTTTGTGAATTACCAGCAAAGCCAGACTATTATTTTCTTTTTAAAGAAACCCTCTCTGTTGTATTTCTCATTACCAAGGAGAGCCAAAACCACGTATATACACGTTCAATCTTTACTCACTGTGGCCGTTATGAAAATGCATCTTTTCTTCTTCTGGATCTTGTTTAGCCTTGCTATAGCCACATCGCCTAGAAAAAAAAAAAGAGAGTGTTTTTGTCTTTGCTATTGCAGAACCCCACTCTTTACTTCATATCACACAAAGCATAAAAACCCGGAGCAGCAATGAATCCAACCTCTCTAGTGGCTGTGTTGCTGCTGTCCCAGTTTTAGCTCATCAAACTATTTGCAATTTCCCTAATGGGATTCAGGGCCCAAGGCCCACTGATTTTCAATTGGACTTGTGCTTCCAAATCCCACAGATGTTTCTGAACAACTCTACTCTACCATACATCTAATTCAGCTGTTATTAAGATGAAAAAAAGAAAAAAAAAGCAAGAACAGGAAGACAATGGAAGGGAAATGGGATGAAACATCAGAATCGCTGAAGCAAGATCTCCTGGACCGCAGAGCTTTTGCAGGCACCATGTTGTATGTATTGCATGCTCCTCTTCATCCACTGGGCATTTGCACGGAACTTTAAATTTTGATACTTTAGAAAACAGCCTCATGTAAACATTAACACCTTATACACATGCAAAATAACGGCTTTAAAAAAAACAAACCCTGTTGCCTCATTGCCTTCAAGGGTCTCCTATGTATTCCTGCCTCTGATAGGGTTTCCTGCACATCTCCAGTCTTTATACAGGGGAGCTACCATTCATGCAATCCCCTTTGCCCAGCAGTAGTAAAGATGGAAGAAGGCACGCAGTCACTGCCTGATCTACCTTACTCCCACGTTAGTACCAGGCAGTGCAAGGATCCTGCTGAATCCTACCATAGAGTTGTAACCACAGCCATATGGGAGTCGCATCTCCCCCATGACATCCTCCTATTAGTCTTTGGCTGCTCTTCCCCCACTCTTCTTGTTGGTTCTCTAGGTGACATTGCGTTAGCATTAACTGGCTGCTGTGGTGGCATTTCTGAGACCTGCTTTACTTCAGACGATCACGTAGGAAGCCACAGTGTAACTGTATAGGCAAGGAGAACTGCTATATACACACACATATATATACATTTAAAAATACAGGATGAGGTACGTATGATGCACATATATATATACCAGTCTTTCCAAAGACCTGATGTGATAAGTGGATACAGGAATTGGATCATCCTTAAAGCAAACCGCATGGACATGAGACAGAGGGACTGTTGGGTAGAACGAAAAACCTGCAACAGACACCTGCAAGCCAGCCAGTGTGCTGTGGGATCATTATTTGGCATGCGTCAAAGAAAGCCTCAGGTTACCAAGAAGCCACTTAAAGGTGAGAAACTTGGAGTCTTCTCTTCCATTGCCCATGATTTTTTGAGATAGGGGGATACAAGCACTCCAGCATCGCTCACAGCAAGGAGGAGCATATGATTAGCAGAAACAAAACTGCAATTAGGAGGAGGCAGTAATAGGCATCTGCATGAAACATGCCCTCAGCATGAAGTCCTATTACAGGGAACTGCTGTCTGCCTGGATGCAAGGGGCCAAGCAGCCTTTTGGCTATAGGATTTTGGCACCGGATTTCTGAAACAATCACAATTACAAACAAAAGCCCTGACAATGGGACACTTGCACCACCTCTGAACTGGTCACAGCAGAGCTGGTCAAGGAGGGGAAAGGCAACAGGAGCTCCCAGGGTTACTCTGGGAAAGGGAAGCAGACACGCAAGCTTACACTGGGGAGAAGGGGAGACCTGTGCCAAGGGGAGAGGAGAAAAAAACAGACTGCAAAGGTGCAAAGGTTGTGCAAGCACAGGGAAATGAATCAAGACAAGGTGCAAAAGACAAGGGGGGAGGCTGACAGGTTGTCCAGGGATGCAGGCAGGGAGATAAATGGGTCACACTGGATAAACAGTCAGGCCATCCATGCAGGGTGAGATTTCATCAGCAGCGACCAACTGAGACCATCATGCTCTGAATGCAAAGCTCACGACAGCAGCAACGAGGTGCACAGAGACACAGTTCAGTTATCCATGTGTCGCTGCTCATCACCTTGCTCTAGCAGCAGAAGTGCCATTTCCTGAGATGGGGTCCTGCCTGATTAACTCAAAAACTAAGCACTAAGTATACGTGGAGACCCTGGGAGTAAGGGTCAATTCAAAGAGTGGTTTAGTGTTCACAATCCCTGGGTGAAAATGGATTCTTCTTCTTCTTCATCATACTGTCTCCCCCTTTAAGTATATACACTAGAGATATGAGCACCAATTCCCACTTCTGGCAACCCCAATTTTTTCTGCCACAAGTTGTCAAAAGTTACATCAGTTTTATACAGTAGTCGTCTTCTGGATTGAGGCATATAACTCAATTTTCCTCTTAAAAACACACGAATGTTTCAATTCGTCCTTCTATTAAAGGCACATACACAAGATTTCTTCTGTTTGCCTTTTAGAGGAAATGCTTTCAACTCATCGCCTCCTCAGATTTGGAGTACTTCACCTATAAATAAGCTTTTCTAAGTTTCTTTTTTTCCCCTTCTTTTACTACCCACATATCCCGATTCTTCAACCTTAAAGAGGGAAGAGGGAGAAATGGGGAACATGCCATCACTTGTGTCCAGTGATCCAAGCACACCTTGATGCACAACAGTCCATTTTTCACTGCCCAGGGACACACTCATAGGGTCAATGCAAACCCATTAGCTCAAGTTGTTGCCCTCTCTCGTAACACATACAGCAGCACGTCACATTAGCATATGAAATAAGGCTCTGGGAACCCCAAAGCATCCTTAAAACACACCTCAACAAGACATGCCGAAGTGAAATGGCAGCTAGTGGACTTCAACTGTCAAGCAACAGTTGGGTGTTACTAGCAGAGCTTGCTGCAAAACCTGCCTGATGCAATCACTTGTGCCCTTCACACACACTTTCTTAAACTACTTAGAGAAACAAGCCATGTACGTGCTTACTGGGGCTAAACCACACTTCTTCCCTTCTTGCCCTTCAGATGCTTTAACTAACACACAAGCAATTTTTGATCCAGTCTTCCCCAACTAAATCCCATAAAAATCTGCTATTTCAGGTTAATAGTCCTGATTCACTATGTGAATCTTACTGGCAGATAAAAGTATCTAAACAGTGTGGGTCTGCAATATATTTGGGGGGAAGAAAAAGCTTCCACTTGTCTGTGAAATAATCCATTTCTGCATGTGCATTTGCTCTTAGTATTTATTGGAAAAGCTGCAAGTCAAAAGCCTCCTGATGGAAGACTCATTCTCTAGTTTATTGTCATTGTACAAACCATAGATTTCCTATATCTTTTCTATATCACGTACAGCAAAAGCATAAAGATTCTGATGCTTGCTTCATCTCCCACTGAGCTGGAGACACTCAGCCAAAGAGTTAATGCAATTCAGCAGCACACCTGAATCTCAACTCATTTACTCCTGTTGTGGATTTGTCCCAGTTTCTGTATCTAGAAAGCAGATGTCCTCCTTGCACAGCTCAGTGTTTTTCAATAAAAGTACCAGAGGAAAAAAAAAAGTGAGACTTTAAATATTCTTAAGGCATCATGTCTTATTTAAAAACTACTTGCAGATTGGCAGGCAGCTCGTAAAATATTTATGGGGCAGATTATAAAAGTGAAGTTGTAAAATGATCCCTATATAGGTTTATAAAATATAAAACGGACAGGTAGAAAGATGAAGAACCCAGCTGGGAAACCAATGCCTGCTGCCTCGCATGGCAGAAGCCAATTCATGGAGAAAAATCCTTCCAGAAACAAGGCAGGAAGATGCCTGCTCTCCCTGGACTGATGGAGATACCCTGCATCTGACCCTCTGCTTTGGGGTGCCCTTGCTGATTGGGGTGGGGCCTCTCGGTCACCAGAGGCATCCCCCCAAACCACAGAATGCCCAAGCGAAGAAGTTTCCGTCTCCCTATTGGGAGTCACCACTCTGGTCACAACCCAGGCAGGACACAGCCAGGGTACTGTGGAGCTGGACCTTGGACATCAAAGCCCTAGCAGTGATGTGGGAGTCTTTATATAATTTTTTTGTAGGCATAGGCCAAAGCAATTCAGCACACAAGCCAAGGCGTTACTGGAAATGCACATGGGGGCAGCATTTAGGCATCCCCGATAAGGAAAAGGACCTCACCTTGTTAGGTGTAGTCAGTACCATAGAACAGCTTGTGCCCTGAAGCAGCATGCAATCTCCCGTCACAGTCCTGCAGAGATTTATACATGTATTTAATCTCTTAAATATGAGATAAGTGAACTCTGTGTGCTTCTTTGAAATAGAAACAAAATGCAACTTGCTTTTCAGGGGTGAGACCTTCACTCAGAAGCACTTCTTTTACAATAAATTAACTTAAGGAATGCATCCAACTCATCTCAAGCTGTCATTTTACAGGAGGTTTGTGAGGATCGAAAGGTTGCTGTTTATAAGGGGTTAGTGCTCATTTCAGACTACTTATTCCAAGATGTTAAAGCAATATGGCTGTTGCAGGGCAGACTGCGTTTCACCCAGAGGAACAAACAAACATAGATCTGTCCCTCTGGCCAAGATCCTGTTGCCTCAGCTCATGTATGGAGACAATAACTTGTTCAGCAAACAGTTTTATCCTGGATAAACACCACCAATACTGAGAGCCAGAGGCAAAGGTCTACCTCTAATGACGCTGATCCATGTTCAGCATTTGCTTTGCTGCTTGCAATCCTAGAATATATTAAGTATCACAAAACCAGGGAATACTCAAGGTACTTGTGTAAAACAAACAGCTTTTATACTGCAGGTTGTTTCCCATTTTTCTGTTCACTTTCCCCCTGCTTTTTTGATGTCTGTAATGACATGGACCAAACTTCCACCTGGAGCAACTTGGAACAACCCACACAGGCTGGGAATCTGACTCATTCAACTCCTCTATCTATTGTCAGAGTCCTGTAATTTGGAGAACGAGATCAAAAGAGTGGTAAAAGGTCTTGAGACGACAAGTTAAAAGACCTTCATCTCAGTTCAAAGATACAGTAGACAACTGGTCTGAGAGGAATCAGGGCAGGTTCCCTTCCTAAGGGCTGCAGATTCACTGTCTTCTCAGCTGCTTTCCCAGCCACTGCTGTCCCCCTCTACACAGTGCAACCCTGCCTTCAACCTCTGATTAATTTGGATGCCTTACAAAGGAAGTTTCACAATTCCAGTGATGGTATTTTTAGCCTTTAGTCTTTCCCTTGCCTTCACACTGAATGACTCCCTGCTTTTCTAAACCACTGCCAGAACAATTAAAAATAATTTAAACAAGATACTGTTTCCTCCTCTTGCAGGAAGCTCCCTCTGAAGGGATCTCCATAAATCTCTCTAAAGAGGTTGTCGTGCCTTCCCATAGCACAACCGACGTCATCCGTGCCTTGAAGTCACTTTTCCCATTTCCCTCTCACAGCTTGCTGACACATTAGTCTCTGCAGCTTAGGAGGAAACTTGAAGAGTGTGTGTTCCAGGTCAGCCAAGTTTTCCCTATGCGTGTCTTTTTTTCATAGCCATCCAGCCTATTCCTGGTCTCCTCTGAGAGGTAATTCCCACTGCTGCCACTCTCTGGTTGAGGGCCCTGCTGAGACTCCCAGTGAGGGACTGCTCATGCACTGGTGGCACAGGCATGACAGACAACAGAAGTACCAGGAGATTTTCTTTTAGCACAATCATTGCCAAATCAGTGGCTCACAGAATGACCTCATGTACCAGAAAAACATTTTGCAGCCAAACACTTTGAGCTGAGCATCCTTGCTTGCTAACATTGCTCTTAAGAACTCAAAAATCATGAAAATCGACTTCAAAATGCTCCAACAGGAAAAAGAAAAAAGCCTTCACCTTAGGGCCTTTAAGATTTGCATTTGCAAACTCCTCCTTCGTTCAAGCCTCTGTCAGAGCCAAAGTACAGCACCAGAAGACCCCAAAATAGTCCACCTTGGTGACTGCTGTACCCCACAGCCAGGGACTGCACCATGACCCAGCTATCACCATGCAAAGACACAGCAGCCCCCAGAAAACACAGCAGAGAGTTTTCACACCTCCTGCCCAGCTATGTTGCAAGGCCTTCCCTGTTTAACAATGCACGTGGGACATCTCAGTGCTCCTACGGTCTCAAGCAACTATCTGATGGGGATGGTGATCTCATGACTCTCCTAGGAGGCCCAGGAAGATCTCTGCCTGCACAGATTACAGTCAATTCAGGGACTTAAAACACATTCCCTTCAGGGAGCAACTCAACTCGCGTCCAGTCAAACCAACAGAAATTAAAATCACCCTTCCTTTGATTAGTTAGCAAAGTTAGAGGGGAGACTACAAGAGAGCAGACACCGGTGAGGCAGCCCAGATGGTGGCAGAATGGGGCAGCATGCAGCACGGACACGCAGCTCTTGAATCCCACAGAGATATGTCCAAAGCTGCTGGAGCATATCGCCGGCAAACAGCATCATGTCATTGTTGTGTATGTCATACATTGACATGTATGTCGATGACATACAGTCCATTTCACTGACATGCACATTACATGCCACTAAATACCTTTCCACTCTTGCCCACCCTCTGCCTCATTTATGGGAGCAAATTACCTCCCCCAGCCCCTTTTGGTGTCAAGAAGCAGAATTTGATGAAGTGTCCAGCATATGTGATGTTTTATTATGACATATGAGATTGCTGGTGCGGTGTCTGGATCGATCACAGCATAACATATGAGGGTTTTTTTCCCCCTGAGACTCCTGCTCTTGCTGGAGACACACTACTTTGGGTCACGTGATTTTCAGTTGTTTAGATAGACAAGCTGGGTGCAGAGATCAAATGAGAAAGTGATTTTCAGGCCAATACAAGAAAGGGAGGGAAAGGCAGACTGTGCACAGAAAACATGAAGGGAGGACACGAAATAGGAGCCAGCACGGGTGGGAACACTGACCATGTTAGGCTCGGATAGGCAACAGCACGCAGAGAAGAAGCCCACCCACAGCCATGATCGCAGCAACTGAAAAGCAAACAAAAAGGCCCAGGATAAGGAATAATCCCACCGCCCTGTCATGGTGCAAAAACATTCTCAACATTTTTATGTGCACTTCTTTCTTCTTATTTCAGTTATTATTTGGACCTTAACACCCTGAGCTGCAAGAATTTCATGGCATGTGCTACTGTTGGGGAAAAAGCACCTTGGAGCAAGCTAGATCCTGGTCCTGCAAAACAATTAACTATGTGTTTCCCGTACTTGAGTACCACCATTAGGACTAATGGGGCCACCCATGTGCTTAAACTTAAGCACCTGCCTTGGAGCAGGCAAAGTGACTTTTTCCACAAGTGTGTGTGTGGTAGAGTTACAATTTCCTTTAAAAAACAAAGCACTGGATGAATTCAAGCTCTGCTTTTTCAGACCCTTATATATGTACTCAACCAACACAACCCTTTCTGGGTCTCCTTGCATCAGTGCACATTATGTATTTGCAGAGGCAGGACCTTATGAGTAGTGTGAGAGCATTCAACCTATATAAACTCAAAATACAGTGAGTTGAGAGGTACTGCGTGTGTCCACAGCTTGCTTTTGAAGGCTGCCAAGCCATTACTCCAGACTAACCAGAGCACGGGTTTGCCTAGCATCAGTCCATAACCCAAGGCTGGCTTCAACCTCAGTAATTGCCCTTTATCCGTCTCAGAAAACCTGCATGGGTAATTTTTCTGTTACCAAATCTATTATGGTAATTCATCCTGAAAAAGAACATATTGCAGAAGAAACAACATGAAAATCTTCAGTACAACATACAAGCAGATGACCAATGGTTCAGACATACTCTGGTTAAAGTCAGCTAAAAACCTCACTCATCATTTCTTCTCAAATCATCATAACACATTGTTCTTGACAAAAAAACCCCCATGCCCACCAGATTTTTATAAAGTACAATTTACAATGCCTAAACACATTAAAATAGCCTATTTAGACAAAATTAACATTCTGCAACTGCACCACCTTAAATTATGATGCAAAATAACTTCAGGCATGCAATGATTTACAGAATTATATACTGGATTATGTGCTTACTTAAATTAGAACTGGTGAAGAATGTCTCTCTAAGCTCTTTTTGCATCAGCAAAACAACTTGCTAACATTTTCTAAACAACGAAGCCCATATTTTTTTACTTTAATTGACAATATTTTGTATTTTCATAATGCTCCAGCTTGTGCAGTCATACTAATACGAAGGAGCAGCTCAGCCTTCACTAAACCTTTATGTTGATACAAGTTAGCACCAGAGGTCCAAAACCCATGAAGGGGATACAAGCATTATATATTTTGAGTCAATTTTGTCATGGTCTTGGTTTAACTTTGCAGGATTTAAGTGCAGGGAACTGGTATGTCTTCAGAACATCACTATGGCTATGAAGACTTAGCTTACATTTTAGCTCGGGGGCTCTTTCCCCCCAACTCAGGGCGGGGGGAATTTTGTAACAGTTGATGCCACCAGCCCTTCCTACACCCTTCTGCATGCAAAGTTTTTTAAACAACAGTTTGAAACAACAGTTAAATTAACCTAAAAAGCAACCACTTCTTAAAAATGGAAAGAGCTCGCTGTTTTCTTAAACAAAGAAAACTCTTTGAGCGCTTCATCAGCAACTGGGCTGCTCTGAGACAAAATCAGTTCCCTGCACTGAATGCAGAATGCTTCAGATCTCACCTGCTCCGTTTATGGGGAGGAAAAAAAAACGCTCAAGTACAAGGGAAATAGGCCTCAATGCAGCCTTACTTCTGCACACCCATTACATAACACTGTGCATTTACAATCAAAATACTCTGAGGTGTAACATTAGGGGAAATCTAAAGCTCTTAGAAACAAACTACACTGATTCAGCAGACAACAAAATTCACTTTCCAGTCCCAGGAGCACTTGCATAGGTAAGTGAATGGACTATTAGGCCTGAACAGTTAGGACAAAGGAAGATTTATTACAAAGGAAGATTTATTACCACTTGTGTTAAAAGGATGGCTTGATTTGTCAGATAAACTTCAGATTATAAAAATCTTGAGGCAGATAAAACTGGATGTTAAACTCCAGCAGATCCACTGTGCCTTCATGGCCACCACATATGGGTGCTGGTGGCTTCTAGGAGGGGCAGAATTTCCCCATCTCCTCACTCCATGCAGGGCTTTCTCAGTCTAGAAGCAGAGTTGCTGAAAGCAAACGCATTCCAGATGAGATCAAATGCTGTGGCAGGATAAGAGATCGCTGCTCAATGAAATACGCCTGGAACTCACTGGGGTTTTAAGATGTTTAGCCAGCAAGCTGACCTGTATAGGGGAGCGGTCAGAGTTGAACCGAGCACTGCATACATCAAAATTATCTGCAAAGTCTCCTCCAGCCTCACTGAATCAACCAGAAGACAACAAGAGCAGCTTGTGGAGGCTGCCCCTGGCTCCAGAAGGAGGTCAGGAGCCCTCCTATCTGCTACAGGTTAACAAGTGACATGTCCACATAACCGTGAAGGTTATTGAGAAAACACCTGCAGCCTTAAATCCCCTTTGCTGGGAAAGAACAGGGCACTGAGGTCTCCAAAAGCCAAGCTGGCTTGAAACAAGGTGTGACTTTTGCTTTGAGCCCTGGCTTCAAGGCAAAGGGCTGCAGATGGGCAGAGGCAACATAGAGGAGCCTGGAGCTGCAGCAGCACCTCCTGCACTTACATGGCCTGTTGGCACTGCTCCGCTTCTTGGCTAGACCAGCTCTACCACTTTCGGTTATCTCAGGCACACAACGCTGACACTCCTCCAGTTCTAGCAAAGGTGACCCTGCAATGCCTGTGTGGTTTGCAAACCCAGCTGTCCAGAGAGCAAACTTTAATAAACCTATGCTAGGAGGACTTATCAACACCCTTGGCATTGTTTCAAACCCTGGGCTACATGCTTTGTTAATGAAATGTATATCTATGATAGGCCCTAACAACTGTGCCTGCAATCAATGTAATTAATTTACCACAAGTCTGCAGATGACCCAGAGAGCATTTGGAATTAAACTACATTTCTAGTGGCTAGATAGATCTCAGAGAGGCTCTGCTGTATAGAGCTGCGGCTTTTAAGAGTTATAAGTTGAAGACTTGGAGTCATGATAAATGAAAGCCTCGTTTGTTGCTTTTAATAAGCTTCTCTAATGGGATGTTCTTCAGAGTCTTGCAATTAGAGACTGAAATACTTGAAGGGTGCCTGGGAAGATTTTTCTAATCCTTCACGCAGCCTTGAGCGATGGCAACGATTGCTTCCTGCATGTCCCCATCAGGAGGCGGCACTACACCTAGCACCTTGTGAGTTAATGTGCTTGCTTCAAACATCAGAGGAGCAGCATTACACACTGTGAGCTGCTAGGAATATATTCCTACTTTGCTCAGAACTGCATGAATGTTTAAGGAGTCACACCTCCTCTTCCTGATGAGCCATACCTAGTTCACACATTAAAGCACACCTCTGCACTGTTCCAGAATAACCAAGAACGCAGAAGCCCAGGCAGATGATACTTACGCAATCACTATGGGGAAGGAGAGCAGCTCTTCCAGGGAAAGGAACTGCGCTTGGAAAGACCTCTGGCATTATACTTTGTTATGTCTAAGCTGTAAGAAAGTAAGGATAATCTTTTTTCTAGGTAAGAGGCCAGGTGTCGCAACATGGCGTGCCTCCAGGAAAGGTCATGCTTCCTACTTCAAGCATTCAAAGCAAGGTGAAACATCCACATATTCAGAAGTGCAGAGGGATAACAGTCTGATTTTCTTCTTCATCCTCTGTCTATTCTACAGCCAAGAGACAACACTGTATAACCTCACTTTAAAACACTACAAACCCATGGGGCTTTCACCAGTGCTCAGCAGGACCCTGGAGCTGCTACCACTGAAGTCAGGCTCCATTTTCAGCTTGAAGGACAGCCCAGTTCCCTTCTCAAAGTGGAAATGGGACTTGCACGGTGCCATCAAATGCATCATCTGAATGAAAGCAAGGAGCTTTCATCACTGACTGCTGCACTGCCCCATATTTCCATTTCACCTGTTCAGCTTACACGAATCGCTTATCTGTTCATGACGGTCCTCCTGCCCCATTCCCCTGGCTGCTGCCAGAGTGTCTCAGAAATTATGCTTTCAACGGCAATGCCTCATGGGCTTGGAGTTTAATTACAGATTTGGTCAACTTTCACCTCCTGTCTGGGCCAAAGTCATCTGAAGGCAGATTAGCCTAGGTCCCTAAACCCTCCTCAAAACTGCAGCAGCTGAGACTGGTTTACAGAGCCCAGTGTGTTTGCATAAAAGTCCTAAGCCAAAAAGTGTTGAGAATAAAAAAGAAAAAAGGTGTTGCAGCAGCCAAATTTGCTAAGCTGATCTAGGCAGGATGCTAGCGATAGGGACTATGGGCCACAGATTTCCACACTGGCCCTGGGAAGGCAGCACCCTGTGCAGAAGGGATGGACAGGAGACCTTTTTTTTCACTGGAGCCCTTCTTTTTTTTTTTTTTTTTTCTTGAGAGAGAGATCCTAATGTGTCTCTCTGGGAAATTGCACCACCAAAGAGCAAAAAGGCTGTTAACATGACAAAGGTAGTAAAAGCCTTGACCCAAACAGAAGCAGAACCAGACCCTGCCTGCTCTTGGTGGATAGGAATTTTGACTTGGCAAAGCAACAGCCTCTCCAACAGAATCCCTCCGCTTGTCAGGTGAATCGTGGGGAATATTTGGCAGTAGGCAGATTCATAAAGTGGCTATAAATCACGGGAGACAACGTCCTGTAGGAAGAAGGAAGAGCAAGCAAGAATGAAGAGATAAAAGTCCTTTAAAAAGTAACAACTAACAACAATTGTGACTCATGCTGGAAAAATTCTCTTTATGAAAAATGTTATCTACAAACCTTCTCCCATTTCCTACGGAAATATTGAAAAAGCAAACTATTTTAAGCCCTGACACATCTTGGAAAATAGGATGGGGGGGCAGGGGCTGTGGAAAAAATCATCCACTTTGACCTTTCACAACATGGAAGATTCTAAATGCTGGCTCAGGACCTAGGATATACACCACAATCGTTTCACCCTCTCTACTCCCTGAAAGTCACTTTTTAACAAGATGCACATATTTGTGTCCAGAAAGTAGCCCTCTGCCACCGCAGGGGCTGATATTTAAAAGTCTGAATCAGCTCAGGTCAAGGATGGATACTCTGGTGCAGAAGCCTCTAATTGCCAATACCCAGGCGGCAAGATTTGTCTTTGCTTTGTCTCCTGAATGCTAGTTCCTCGCCAGAAAGAGACTTTCTATATTTGCACAACACAGGGCTAGGGGCAGGTTTTTGTTGCTTCAAATCTGTATTTTTTTAAAGTTCTATAAAAAGCTCCCTCCGGTTCTTTGGAAGATCACCTGAGATGCAAAGGTCATCCATAATGGGTAGCTGGCTATAAATGCAGATGCACAGTACACTTAGTTATTTTGAGCAGCTTTTGCAAAATGCACAGCATAGACCTAATAGCATCCTCGTTTTACTCTGTAAAAGCCCATGCCTTTGTTTAGCGCTACAAAGCTCAAATGCTTCGGGGAACAGAGAGACCATCAGTCTCTTAACACTCACCCTAAGATCCCGTCAGTTTTGCAAACAAGGCTTGGTTTGAAGGACAAAAGAGGGGGAACTGCTCTGGATCAGCAGGTCTCCGTCCCAGGCGATGCAAACCTGGCTTCTAACCTCGGTTTGTAGAAGGAAAGGGGCTGATGCCACAATAACAACTGCAGCACCTTATTGCTCCTTGTAAGACGGAGCACGGAGATCTTTGTGCCTGGCATTGTCCAACACAGACTGTAAAACAAAAGTCTGTAAGGATTTTAGATTAATATATACTTCAATCAGGAACAACAGTGCCAAGTGGCATCTAATTCAAGCATTGCTAGGAAAGCAAAATTTACAGTCTCACTCTATCTGTAAAATGCATTGTGCTTTCAAGAAGAACACATAATCCTAACACAACAAAGATAATAACAACTCCATATTCTTTAATTCAATGCTTGTAGCTGGTTTAATAATAGATTTGCAATCCCCTTCTCTTTTTTTGCTGAGACAACTACAGTCTGATTTAGTGAATCTCTTTGATTTGTAATCCCGATCGTTATATTATTAATATGTCCCTGATGCAAAGAGTGGGATAACTTAAAAAAGTGATCAGCTATTTTGCTTGCTATTTATGACCTTGGACAGAGGACGCATTATTTACAGGAAGAGTTTTCTGGAGCATCTGCAAGTAAATCAGCTCTGAAATGCAGCTTAATTGTTTAGGGCAAAGTGCATTTAGTTTCAAATTCCCAGGAACCTCCAGCTTCAGACACAAAGCACGTTTCCACAGATGGATTTTGGCATGTGGAAATGCCACCGTGACTACCATTCAGCTGAACTTTGGTTTAGGGCCAGCTGCCAACAGGAAATGCCAAGCTTTTGCTTACATTTGTTCAAAAGTGGCGAGAAAACTGCAGATACTTGAAAGCAAAAAAAGGGCAAGAGGTGTAGAAACTTCTGCCTCTGGGGACCTATTGGAAAATAAAAAGCCTGCAGAGCCCAGCAAACTCCTGAGTTCTATGGCTGGGACACTACTTTCCAAGCTGCCAAGAGCAGGAGGACATCCCCTTCTCACTGCAGGACTGCTCTCAAGCCCCTGCTTGCTTCAGCCTAGCACTTGAGAGGATATGCACAGACAGATGCCATACAGCATCCTAGGGAGGAATATCCTAATTCTGATGTGTCCAGGGCCTCCCAGGAAGCCTGGGAGCAGCATGGAGACAGCAACGAGGAGCCTGTTTGCAGGAGATGGCAAGGCTACATCCTTAGTGCTGCAGAGCAAGAGGAGTTTTCTCCTTAGCTTTGCTACTGGGCAATACCTGCTCTCCTACATTAGCAGAAAAGACAGGTCCTGGGCTTTGCACAGCTTGCTCGGTGTGAAAAGCAGTGGTGATTCCAGCTGGCACAACTCCTGAAGTTTAAAACGTCTGTTTTTCTAAAAGCAAGTACGGGAAAGAATTAGGAAAGGAAATTTCACCCCCTGGAACTAGGCACCAGAACAACATAACCACTCCAAAGATAGAGGAAGGCGTCTTCCAGAAGCAGGTTAACAACTTCAGAAAGGGATTATCCCACGACCTGGAATGTATTTATCATCCCTGCAGTGTCACAGCAGGAGAGTGACTCCACGAATTGTCTCAAAATCATATCCAAGACAAAGCAGTGTGAGTGACACGTTTCAGTGGCATCTCTGCTTCTTCTAAACAGGAGATTTTTTTTGTTTGTTTGTTTTGCTTTAATCTCAAATTGGCTGTCAGCTTTCTGGGCTTCTGGGCTTTATTTTTCTGTTCTCATGAGTCACCCAACGCACTCACATGGGCTTTAAAATTCAGGGGAACTCTAAGTGGCTAAGAAGTTCTGTAGTTCTGAAGCCAATTCTTTAATGATGGACCAAAACCTGGCGCTGGAGGTTTCTCCATCAACTCCAGATGAAGGACTGGGTTCTTCCCAATTTAGGGGAAGGGTTGAAAAGCTAAAAATGGACCAAGAGCTCAGTTCCTTGTGCCTCCCCCTCCCCATATGTCTAGTGTGGCACTGTGGAGTAGCTCCCAGGAACCTGCAGCTGCCCTGAGGAGAGGTGTGAGTATAAGGTAGGAGTATTAAGGCAGCAGCAGAGGCAGTAATAGAACTCTAGCTAAAGGGGACAAGGGCTTTTATAAACATGCCAAGAGACAAAGAGCCAAAAGGAAGCACATCCTAGAAGCAAAGGACTGAAGGACATAATTAACAAGAATTGCTGACAAATAGTGCAGGCTTTGCAACTGCTTGCTTAGACCAGAGAGAGTAGTGGCAAAAAGGAGACCTTCAAGGGCATGTCCTCTCCAAAGGGGTCCCAAGTGCTTGCCATTGACTGTGAAGACCAAGAGCTGCTAGTTGCCACACAGTTGTGATTCCTTATAGCCACAGAGGGATATATGTCCCCCGACCTGTGATTCACCCCCCAGACTCCTCCTTGCAGAGCTGTCAGGCTACATCCGTAGCTTTCCTACAGCCACATGTGTACCCTCCTGTTTGCATCAATACAAGCACACATCCAGGCTGGGAGAGGCCAAGGCCCACATCCCCCTGCTCTGTCTGAGGAAGGATTTGACTCAAAACCTCCAGCCTTTATGGAAAGACTTGAACTCCTGCCTACAGTGTTTGGAGAAAAGTCTTTTTGGCTACATGTAGTAGCCCCTGGTGTGAATGGCCTGTAGCCATTCACCCCCCACATGGCTGAATGCTTCTCATGCAGGCAGAAGCATTTACCTTCCCATTTTTAAGCCCAACAAGTCACTCAAAGTAGATGACAGGACCTCAGACAGCTGAGCTGGAACTAACTGTCAGTCTCTGTCCTTGAGTGGAGAGCAGTCTGGCAGCACACTTACCTTTTAGGACAGGAAATAACTGTGTTCTTCCATGGATGCCTTATGCCTGGGGACAGAGCTGCTCAGCCTGGCTGGATTTCACCACGCTGCATTCACAGACTGATACCCTACCTCCTCTGGGAAATAAGACCCTCAGCCAATATGTTCAGTATCAGAGCAGTTCCTCTGCAAGTATCTTGTAACTGCTCTTAACACTTACAATACCCTGTAATTTATAGTCTCCTTGCTAGCCCTGAGCTTAAGACAGACCCGTATCATGAAAGCAGCAGTGGGCTGATGGGTACCTTAGAAGCACAGATGTTTACTTTGAACTGAAAACAAAGTCAGCCTTATCAATAGATGCACCTCATATTGCTTTGCATGAAAGTTGTTGCACGGCTTGACTACTGCCACTAGAAAAATGTACTAATACACGTGTAGTATATAAAAAAAGTGCCTTGTGTGCTGCCTGCTACACAAACTTAGTGCTGCAGTACAAACTGATGCTGATACAAGCCAGATTTTCCCCCAATACCACAATCCCTTGTTCACCAACAAGTTCCATCAACTTCTGTTAGAGCTGTCAAAGATGGTATAGCCCAGGCTTTCATCACTTGCCTATGTTTAAGCACATGAGCAGTCAATGGGATCGCTTGATGGTTTGAAGCTGAGTGTCTCCCTCAGCAGGGGGAACATTCTGTATAATTTATGAGCATGTGGGGAACACATTACCATCCTACACATGAAAAATGAAATCCAGACCTGACCAAAACTTGGGGTGTCTGGCCATTCGGCTGGGTTCCTTCTCTTTTCCTTTGCAAGTGTTTTTCCTGAAGTCAAGTTTCCTCTGTGAGCAAAGCCCATTGCGAGCTCTGAGTGTAAACATATGGGCTTTGGGATATTTTACCTGAAATAACATGTTTCACTTATTTTTAAAGGAATGTGAAAACAATCCTGTGAGAATCAAGTCGAATAATCAGGGCCAGTCTATACAGAGATGAAAATCACTGGGAAGTGAACTACATCTGTGAGAGAGCCTTTGCCATTCCTGCCTGTCCAAACAGATCAATCAGCCCACCCTTGTGCTGTTTTACAGTGCTACCGCTCGACAGCTTTGTTCACATGCTGCTTTCGCCTAAATCGCGCTAATCAGCTGGTCAGATAAAAGTTATTACAGAAGTTGGAAAAGTATAAATACACAGCTTCTTCTCTTACCTTCCGCTGAGAAGGAAACCGATAACAACAGCCAGCAGAATGACTCCCACTGTTACAGACACAACAATTATAGGAATCTGGCTCTGGTCGCTGGATGCAGCTACTGCTGAGATGAGAAACAGAAAATGGAGATTAAGGTTAAAATGACAGTCAGAACTCACATGAGTCTTTCTAGTGAGGCTGCCAACAAGGTTTCAAGTCTTACCAGCTTATTTCTTCTTTTACGGTTTGTATTTTCCCCATTTGCTGTCTGTTTCTAGTTTGGAAAGGAAATGGGTGGAAGGAAACCAAACATACATGCAAAACCAAGCCAAAAACCCAACAAAATTGCATCTCATCTATGAATTCAGAAACCAAAGTGTTGCAGAACACAGCCTTTAGTTTGCAAACTCAAGTTTGTCTTCCTGGGTTAGCTGCATTAGAAATCACAGAGATAAAAGATGAAAATCCAACAGGTTCCCATTTGCAGAGAGAACATTTATGGAATGTTATTGCTAAGAGACATAAGCAGGATCTCTTGAGATAAATAGCATTATCTGCACTTTGCAAAGCTATAAACAATTAAAAACTAACTCCTTGTGTGTGACATGGCCAGAAGGTGCCCTCTGTAAAACAGGAATTTGCTATGACACATAGATTGGTTGGTCTTTTTCTCAGCCAAGGGAAGCAGAACTCTCCAAGCCCATGCCTTGTAAAGTGCCCTCTTGCCAAAAGGCAGGAGACAAGTCCTGCGATAAAGATGCCAGCAGAAAGGTCAGGAAAGCTGTTCAAGAACTGGGTTTTGCCACAGGCTAAACAAGAGCAGGTGAGCAAGTTCCTGCAGCCTGTAAAATGGAAATGCTAACACCACTTGTATCTTGTTTATCTGCCTTACACTGCAGGGGAAGGAGCCCATCTCTCCCCGGCAGTTTGCATGTGGGGTTCCCCAAGCAGAAACCAAAGCCTCTACACCCCACCCTCTACACTGCCAGCTTATTTAGCTGCATATATTTAACCATCCCAGAATACAAATCTGGCCTTCTCCCTGCCAAACCAGCTCCCTGGCATACGTGTTGCTGCTCTGCAGGGAAAAAACCTCATTATAGTGCCTTGTGCCAGCCCCGGATGAAGCTTCATCCACCCCGGGGAGCAGCAGGAATCGATTGCACGCAGAAGAAGCCTTTAACTAAATGACTGAAGTAAAAAGGGGTCCTTAGCACAGGATTAACTTTATGAAGGCTATAAAATAACTGAATATAGTCCTATATTAATTGTTAAAAGAAAAGAAAGACGACAAGGTATGGCATTAAACATTGATCTGCAATGGGTTTCAAGTAGCTCTTCATATGGGAGCTCTCTGATGCTCAACGGCGAGTGGTGCAGACCTGCTACAGCAATGTAAATGATTTCAGAAGGATTGGCCGCGATACATTAAATATTTAATGTTAACTGCTCCAAACCTGTGCCATCATCCAGAGATTTTATTAGCCTCACAAATTTATGGAGGCTCCTTAAGATGATGTTTTATTGCTTTCTTGACAAAATAATTAAAAAGTAAAACATTTAAAGGAGAACATTAAGCCGTGACTGGTGGTTTTTTGCACAGCTCGAGGGATGGGGAAATGAGATAAATCCTGCTGTGATCTATAGCAGCTAAAAAGCCTGAATTCATACACCAAGCTGGGACCTTGCTGCCATTTAAAGCCAGGAGGGGGACTTGCATTACCCTTCATCAACTTGGTGACATGTTCCTACTCCCATCCAACTGACAAACTGGATTAGCTCACCAATCCAGCTGAAAACCAGCTTTTGGCAAGGCTAGTTTTATCATGGCTAGACAAGCTCAATGGAATCTGGGAAGGAGGACAGCGGCAAGTGGATACGCAGCAACAGCTTCCACCCAAATAAAAAACTTCCATTGAAAAATGTAGCATTGGCTGCATCACGGTGCTTTGCAGAATTGCACATGCAGGCAGCAGTATGTAAAAAAAACCCCAAAATTTGGAAAAAGAAAATTCCAAAACAAGTTATGGATTCTCCTTTTACTGCATTTCTCAGGGTGTTGTTTTGTATTTCCTCTAAGTGTATTGAAAACAACTTTATGGAAACCTTACAAACTGGAAACAAAACCTGGTGTTTGGTCCAAATGATTTTGGAAGCTGTTTTTAATTCTCACAACAGACAATGAAAGGTTTTCATTTGTGCTTGAATCAAAATAATTTGCTTGGGCTCTAACAAGAGGTTCAGATCTTAACTCTGATGTAGCAGTGAGATTTCAATCTGTGCTTGCTTTCAGATTCTCTAGGACCTGCAGGAAAGCAGTGGGAGTCCGGTCACACTCCTGGCACTAATAGTGAATTTATATAGGGTCCTGGAAAAAAAAATAAATTGCTTTTTAAAAGGTTTTAAACGTCAAACAGAGCTGCGTTTTGCAAGATACTGAGGCTTATGTTGTATTTCAATTCTACCAAGCATTTAAACATCTGGTTAAGTTCCTGCTTCAGCCAGAGCTCAAATTCAACAGAAGAACAGTTCCCAGCTCCCAAACTAGGGACCATGCAATAGGTATTCCTCTGACTACGCTGGCAGCTCCTTAGTATCAGAGAAGTACCTTCTCCTCTGCCTTTAAAACACTAAAAAGACTGAGGTGCAAGTGTGACAAAACAACTCAATGGGTTTAAAGATATTACGATGTGATGTCCTCAAAAAATCCTGATTAACACACTTATATAATGGGCTTTATGGAAGTGCCATTATTTTTGCACCAGGATCATAGGTACCAACGGCACCAGATCAAATGTGCATGTATTTAATGTATTATTTATTAATAGTCTGGAACACTATTACTCAAATGACTCTAAACTAGAAACTTTCCAACTCAAAGAAAAATCCTTTAGTATAATAAAGAATAATTTTTGGCATAACATGATTTTGTTGCTACTTATAGGCCACGATTAATGGCTAATACAATAAGGAATACATTAAATAGACCATTCCTGTTGCATTAATGTTTGCATCGTGATGCAATTTGCACTGTATTAGTTCAATCACTGGCTCCACAGCTACATCTGCACATGTATAATAATTCTTTTAAAAATCTATTATGGCTTCAAAGGTAGCATGCATTGGAAAAACAACTTGGCATCTTCTTCTCAAAGATGATGAATTTGAAATGAAGTAGAGTAGTAGTAATAAAGTACTGATGAATTTAAGTTTCCAAGGAAAGCATCCAGAAAATAGGCTCTTTCCCACAGGAATGAAAGTGTGTTTCCACCACAAAATTTATCTTCCATGCAAACAATATAAAAAATTAATAAATGACAGTTGTACAAACTGAAATAGATAGGACATATTTTCTGAGGGAGAAAATTACCTTTGACACCTCTGCAAAAATCTGGTAATCAGGGAAAAAAGAATTTCCCCACAGCTATGCCTGAACACAGGGGAAAGAGCAGCCTCTGCGTGCCTTGGGAGTTCACCCTGCCACAGAATCTGCTCCAGAATCCAGACCTGAATGATCAGATTCATTAAAAAAAAAATAATTTCAAAACCCACAAATTTGTAACAGGTTAAGCAAAGGTCCTGTGCCTGCAGTGCACATTTTTCCCATTTCTGATCACAAGTCAAATTCCTTTCCTTGAGGCTGTGGCATTGGCAGGCAACAGAAACCATCTTTCAACTTGACAGGAACTTACACGAAAAAGACGCTGGTTCAATTCTTCCCCTTGTAGAGAACCACCATTTCAGGGTTTTTTCACCACATGCGGATATTTAAGAGAGCTCAGCATCCTCTGCAGACAGCCATTAAGAGATGTGGAGGAGCAGGTCTCATCCCTTCTACACCTGCTGAGAGGAGAGCCCTTGTCCTCTCTTGCATCAGCTCTCATAAATACAGTATTTTTCTAAGCAGGGAATGCTATGAATTTCTGGAGCCTGAAGACCTCCTGACTTCACCTCCCACCTCACCATGTGAGTTGAGGAAGCAAGGACAGGTGCGTTAGCCTGCCTAGTGCATGGTCATGACATGCCTGATGTTTTCAAAGTCAAGGGATGAGGCCAGGACAAGGAACAAGCTTTCTGCAAAGTTGTTGATCCCCCGACTTATTTCTGGCAATCGTTCCAGAGACATGGGCTGACAGTAATTAAAAGGACTTACACACTGGACTGGTTTCAAACTCAAATCTTCGGCTGAAGCCACCGTAGCCTGCAGCTGTCCGGGCTCGGATCTGGAAGACGTATGCTGAGCCTGGTTTCAAGCCATCCGCAGTGATCGTCGTCTCTTTGGATTTGATGATGGTGTAGCTTGTCTCCTGGTCCTTTTCCCAACCCCCCCAAAAAAAACCAAAGTTCACACACACAAATAGTGGCTCTCAGAGAAGACAGACTCTTAACAACCCCCACAGCAATGTTACAAAGAATGACTAAAATACGCATTTTTGAGGATCCCTTCCTCACCTCCCCACCCCCCCCAAGGCCCCTTCTTCAGTACAAAATGTGAGATCTGATTTCTCTTTTATAATCAATGACTCTAGGAGGTATGAAACAGAGCAGAGTGACTTTCCACACATAAATGACAATACAGGGACCAAACTGGCATCTGCAGTAGGAGAAGCTTTCCACTGCTGGGGATGTACATGGAGTGGGACAATGGAAAGGATCATCATACAGAGATCAATCCCAAGGCATGGGGAAGAAGAAAAAAGTCCCATCACCTTAGAAAGGATTTTAATTTATACCAAAATGACTTCCCAGTAATGTAATAAGGTCTAAAAGAGAGTAATATATATTGTACATTGTACAACTTTATGCTGTCATTTCTAGAATCACGAATAAGAACTTGAGAAGGGAAGAGTAAACCAAAACTCCAGGAAAATACCTAATTTTGCAATGTTCTTCTGAAGGAATGAACTTGAAGAAAAATTGCTGAAATAAATCTTCATTTACATCAGTTGCTAATGTGAAAGAGTTTCAGTTCTTTGATTAAAATTTCACTCAAATGCTTGGTAATTACTCTTAGAATTATTTACTGTAAAACAATCTAGACAAGAGCTCATAAATTAAGGTCTACAAACTTGGAAACTGCTTTTTATTCACCATATCCTCTCAGATCCAAATTATTATGACGTAAATAGGAGTTCTTAGTAATTCCCCACCAAGATTTCTGCACAGCTCTTAGTATCTGAACTGATTTTTCTTTTTTCTTTTTAATTTAATGGGCAGCTTTCCATAGACAGTAATATGCCTGGATAAGGCCCTGGGAATCTCCAAATGTAGGATTACAGATTTTCTCATTAAAGCCTGTATATATATATATACACAGAGAGAGAGAGAGAGAGAAAGAGAGAGGGGCCTTTTTTTTCTTTTTCTTCTTCTTAAATGAGTGATTTCTCTTAAAGGAATGTGATCTGACAAAAGCAAATTTTTCAAAATATTTAAACTAGATCATTCTCACCCCTTGGAAATGAATGCTGCAAATTTACCCTTATAAAGGGCTGAAAAACAAGAGAATATAAACAAGAAGGATTAAGGACGACATCCCAAATCTAACTCAATGACTGGTTAAAAAGCAATAAGTGAATATTAGGTCACATCTTTGCTTGTATGTCAGCCCAATTAGGTTTTCAATACGCTGTTGACTTCTGCAAACATTTAAACACTTGAGATTTCCTACAGAAAACACTAAGCTTCACTATTAGTCTGAAAGAAATATATTAAGACAGCATAAACTCAGGCTGCTTGTAGCTACCCCCCCATACAGGACTTGCATTTGAGAACAATTTACTGAAGCTATTTGAAACCAGTTCCAGACCACAAATACAACATTTTAAGCCCATCCTTCTCCAATTTGTTTGAAAACAAACTTAAGTAAAATGAACAAATACATGGATTGTTTTTCTGTAATTATTTGTTCATTATCAAGACTCCTAAAGGCTAATCTTCCCAGGCCACTTCACAGTAAGGATTCAATGCGCCACAACAGTTGTTTAAACAAGTTAATATAAGAATCAGTAATGGATTGTTTCTAGTGATAGCATATCATGATTCTTGCTTTGTGCTTTAACCTTTTTGAGAACCTCAGCCCTATTTAAGCCACTCACACATCTTGTACCCTTGCCCAAGCTCCCTCATCTGCAAAAATAATGTTGATTTTATCCTGATGCAGAATATTTCTGAAATTCTTTCCCCTGTTTGCAGGGGCTGCTTGAGTAGGTCCCTCCAATGGTCAGAGAAAGAAGAGAGGAGTAAGGACCAGCCCCGGTCTACGTTGAGTGTTTTCACCTGGGTCATCAACAGAACTAATGGAAGATCTTAAAATAGAAATTCAACTCCCCCCAACAAGTGAATTGTGATTCAATTTCATTATTTTCCTCTTGTTTTCATGTAGAAAGCCTGTCTGTTTCAGAAAAAAAAAGAATACCTTACAATCCCAGCTAAGGCAAGAAACTGCTATTCAGTCAAATCTTGGCAAATCTGATTTTTTTGGGAAATCTAGGGTTTCCAAAGATCTAAGGATACATCACTCAAAATATGTATTTAGACAAAGTGCATTTGTTATAGTTTTCACTGAAACTGCATTAATTTTGCAGGAAGAGAACAAGTCACCATTTGAAATGAAGACTAGGAGAGGCAAGTTTTGTAGAAAGAGAGAGCATTTTCCATTAGACCAAGAGCAAGAGCTGGAAAACCCAGGTAACCTTTTAAGCCACGATGCCCTTCTTCAAGTCAGAGCAGATACAATCTCTCTGCAAAATCCTTCTCCTCTCCTTACACTGTGGATGCAAAAATCAAGTGAGAAACTGAAATGCCAAAGGTGAGGTATAGCCTGATGTTTCTGGGAGGAGACAGACACCTGATCCCCAACTCCTCCCACTTTTAACAAATGAGCAGGGCTCTATCTTAATGTGATAAGGCCAGAGAGGAATCTGACATGCAGATTTAATGTATTTGTTCAAGAGAAGTGGCACACTAATGGAAAACAACACCCTCATTTCAGGTCTTCCTATTCATTTACTGCAAAATCAATCTGACATTGATTTATGCATAAAATCACTCCATTCTCTTCCATGACTCAAATAATTATAACTAAACGAAAAGGACAGTAAAGAGAAGGTACTTGGGATGCTCAACAATCAGTTTGTCACACCTTTTCAAAGTATTTGATTTCGTATTCCAGGATGATGCCGTTGGGTCGATCTGGCTCCTGCCAGGAAAGGGAGATGCTATTTTTAGTTATCTTCCCTTTTTTCACACTACTGACTGGAGAAGGTGCTGCAAGACAGGAGAAAAACAGAACAGACAAAACCCATGGTTAGTAAGTCTGCCCCTGCCAAAGTCAAATTTGTCAGTGCATCCTAAAACGCAATCCTTAGCTACTGCAGATCAGTGGGGTCTGTTTTCATCTTGGTGGTATTTACCCATTTTTAACAGCTGGACTCACAGATTTTCAGCAGCTGAGGATCTGACCAGCGTTACCCACCTGAACAAAGTAACAACATAAGAACCACCATCAACAGTTTACAAATGTCACCCTTGTCTTTTCAAGCACATTTCAAACACATCAACCCCACACCTTGCCTTTCCAATTGTGTCAGGGGGCTATGTTATCGGAATTTCATATTGATTACATATTGCTTTCTTTCAGCTGCTTTGGACGTATGTATTTTTCAGAAGACCTTAGATTATGTGGGCTCCTTAACTATTGTTTGGCTTGTACAGTAGTTAAAGCCTAGGCTTCTTTCAGCCCCCTCCTTCCAGAAGCAAGGAATGGGGTACCCAGGCCTTTACAACCTTTATAATTCAATTGCTCTCCATAAATATCACTGGAGTGTTACAGCTCACATAGTGATGCTAATTCCTTGCAAATGGCAACCATAAAGATTTTAACAGTTCGGAAGTTTGCAGTGTGCTTGGGGAAGAGGTATGAAAGCAGCCATAGCAGCTCTGCTTATTATTTTAAGATGCAGCCCTGAAAGGTTATCTGCCCTTTGCATCACACATGTTCATCAGAAACAGGCTTGATCCTTTGTTTTCAGTTTGATATCTGCAGAGACTTTTCAAGCTGTGGTTGTTACCATCCCCACCAGCTCCCTAGCAAAAGTTGCTATGGGCAATGCAACTCAAACACCCCAGATATTTCATGCCAGAGATTAGGAAACAACACTGAGTGAAAAGAAAAGGGGACAGGAGAAATTCATAGTCTCTAATTTATAGGGCCAAGAGCAGCTTTTCTAGAGGAAAAACCAGCCCATGCCTGACTGAGGGTCTTTGACTCACCCTTCGGACAGGCCAGCCCAGGGGACTGGGGAGACCCACGGCAAAGACCTTTGTGGCCATATGGGGAATTGAATGCAAAGAGAAGTAGCAAATGACCACATTTTGTCTTCTAAAATGTATTCGGAACTATTAAAAAAAAAACAATCAAAATTACTTCTCCTATAGGCAGGACTGGCTAATTTTCACAATACTAAAAAACCCAAACCCATTAAGTAAAATAAAGACAACAAACAAATTAATTTTGCCATGTCTCATCTTTGGCCAAAAAGAGTAAGGGAAGAGCTCCAGACAATTATCCCTGGACTGAAGACTATCAGCAAGCCTTCTCTTTTAAAGCAAGCTCCCACATCTCAGTCTCTTTTCAGATCCAATTTTTCTTATTCGTGTTTACTAATCTGTCCTCCACCTGGCTCTTGGAGGATCCTGAAAGGTGTTGGCTATTTCCATATTGTTTTCTGCTGGAGAGCTGGCATCAAGCTGCACAGACAACACTCACTTTCTAGCTGTGCATCTATCTCACAACTACCCCAAGTACTCCACTGAGCAAGTAAAAACCACCTTAATTTGAATAATGATCATGTTATTTACGTAAGCGCCGCACAGTGATCACCAACAATTTTTCATCTGCAGAAGCCACCTTAACCTTGGCTGATGTCCTCCACAATTTTTTGGACTACGTGAAAGCAAATAACAACATAGACTCAAACTGATAATCCAGTATAGGACTTTCCATTAATTAATCCAGGTGCCTAAATATGTATTGTGCATGCGTGTGCACAGCACGTTGAGTTGTTCATGTGAGATATGTGGTCCGTGAACGTGTGTATGGTCAGATGTGTGAGCCCAGAGAAGACATAGCGAGTAGTGAACTTCATTAAAATAAGATGAACTTCCTTTCTAACACAAAGGGAGCTACGTGGTTTTCAGAGGCATCAGAAAACAAGTCTTCACTGTGGGGTGGTGGTGCCAAATAACAGATGATGATAGAACCATAGTAAAATAGCCAATACTGATCAGTTCTTATCATGAGCCACTTGGATGCTATATATAGGAGATGGAGACACCAAAGTACTCAGAAAAAGGGACCCATGTCCCCCTGGGACTATCCTCCAGTGCCCCCAAATGCCTGCAACAGCTATGTCAGCCTTGCAGAGATGGCAGCAGAGTACTGGCAGGATGGAGAAAGTCAGAACTGATCAATAAGCCTTTTTAAACTCCTATCAGTAAAATCAAACTTGAGAAGTGCAGCAAGGGGAGACACCTCAGCCCTCTCCAGTATCACATGCCTCTCAGGAAGGCAGTTCTAAGTGTCAAGATCGCCTGACCAAATAAGGGACTTTTCATCCACTTTACGAGGTTTCCTGAAGTGTTTATAGGACCAAGGCTCACAGGCACTTTAAAAACAAGAGAACGATGCAAGCACTCCTGAACTCTGCTGCAAAATCTTTCACTGGGGGGTTCAGCTCTCCTTCACGTACATCTGCACAGTACAATACAAAATGCACCACCAGCCATCCAAAAGTGCTGGTCAAACTTCCTACTTGCCGAAAACAGAGCATGCTCTTTATAAAGCAGTGTGTAAAAAGCTTGGCTAGTTAACAGATTTATGGACTTAAATCTCTCACTGTGCACATCTCTAACATGTTCAAATGTGGCTCTGCAGAATGGTTTGCTCTACCGGGAAAAGGAGGGAAGATAAGAAAATGAGTAACACAACTCTCAAAGTAAATTAGAAAAGGAGTAACTGTATCCTTTCTGAATCTCCTTCAAAAGAAGCGTTAAAGTGTAACCATGAGATAAAGTCCAATTAAGTGAATTCAATAAATCCCAGTGGTGCTAGGATGATACGGCAACTACTCTGCATCCTCAATGCACAGAGATTACGATGCTCTGAACTGAAGGAAGGAAGGTATAAGTATTTTAGAGTTTTCTTTGTCAAACAAAATGTAATCCAATCTAGGCAAGCGGACAAAGTCTGCAATCATTCCATCTTAAAAGCCTGCAACTGGATACTGTGCTACATGATCTCAGGAAAATAAAAGGATTACTTGAGACTTGCTTTTCAGAGGTCACTGCTTCTGCAAGGGCAGCATCCCCTTAATAGAACGAAGCCAAGTCATGGAGCACCTCCATTTGGAGTACAACATGTTAAAAAAATAAATGCCGTAAGAGACAAGATACATAAAGTTCTAATCTCCCATGTTTCATATGTAAATAGGCAGAAGTCTTGTTCAGATCCCTGTCTTAACACTACAAACAGTGGATGTACATTGTGAATTGTTCTCATGTTTCTTTACAAGTAATCTGCACATGCATTAATTTCTCAGCAAGACACTCAAAATCAAAGAGGGATATTACATCATTTATGTTTATGTTCACCATTCATGAAAACAGCCATGCATATGATGAAAGCAAACAGAAGATGTAACAAGGTGTGAAATTGCTAATGTACATTTTTGCTTTCCTGAGACTAAAATTAATCAGAAAACAATAAAAGAACAGGAAAATTATTCTACTCTTTGTTGTTGTTGTTGTTCTATTCCTAACATTTCTTAAGAAGGAGACATACCAAATAAATAAATTAAAGTTTCTGCAGAAGATGCATCATTAGTCACATCTGAATAACTACAGGAGATGATTTCATGAGGAATAGACCTTTTAGGACATTCTTCCTCTGCAACATTTGATAATGACATTAGCACTGAATTAGCCATCTGGGCACCAAACCCCGTATTTACAACATACTGTGCTGTGTCCCACTAACATCTAGTATACAATGATGCTTAGTGGAATAAAATGTTAATTACATTTTAAGATAATGTTATCAGGTGAATGACCACTCCACCAAGATAAAACAAATAATCCAGTTTCTACATCTCATGGTCTATCTAATGCTCTCTCCAGCCCAATTACTTTTGCCTCGGTATTTTTCACTCTGGCAGAAACAACAGTTAATGGCTCTCCACCTCACCTTTAGCCCCACAGCCAATAAAGTTTTCTACTTCTGATCCAAAAAAGACCAAGCCAAACCAAACTAAACTAGCTCTCTTTACCCTTGGTGTAAAAACCAAGCCATTGGCTCAGGACCTTCAATCCAGCTTTATCTTCTGCCAGGACAGATCATCACTTGGAGCAACCCAGAGTAGCCCAGGAAGAGAAGCTGGTTTACAGGGGCAGACTGGCACTTCTCTCTCCTTTGCCTCTCCAGGTATCAGGACTTCAGGTCCCTTTCCAAAGACAACTAAGGCATCAAAGAGGAGGATCCTGATGCTACCATTTGTGCCCTGGCTGCCATTATAGACATCTGTGACACAGATGTCTATAGATACAGACATCACCTTTTATAGACATCTATGCCATGGATTTTCATGTGTTTTTCATGCATTTGCAATTTTTTTTACTGTGATTACATTCCTGGATATGCAAATATTTGGGATCTAATACTTAAGACCTTGCAATATACCTTGGGGTTCCTCCCTCCATGTGGTGCCATGTTTCTTTTGCAGTCTGAATTTATGCCAGAATATTTAAAAGTCAAATTCATGCTTGTGATTAAATCAATACCTTCACCTGTCATCGTATAACCAAATAGTTATGCTATCATTAATACACTCATAAAGCCAGATTTAATTGAAGAAAATGAAACCTGTATCAGAAGAGTAACCACAAGACAAGTAATTCTGGTTCCACTTCAAAAGCCTGGTATACTGCAATTTTTCACTCAGTTTCTAATTAATGACATTACTGAATTTTTTTCTCAGGCCTTTGGTGACTTCAGAGTTTAGAGCAAGACCTGCATTATTCACCGAGTCACACTAAAGGCAGTGAAATTGCAGGTGGCTTCAAATAGTAGATTAACTTTAAACAAGATACATACATTAGTCAAAACAGAAACACTATTCTGAGTAGGAAAAAGACCAGATCTTCACTGTATTACCTCTTTGCGCTTCTCTACAGAAACTATATACTTTTAGAAAAGCTCAATACCCAGTGGC